TACTTCGCCACTGGTGATGATACTGATGTCATTTCAGTACATTGAGCAGATAAGAAATATGCCACTGGAACTTGGAAGATAACCGTCACAAGATTAGTTATGGCACCGATCGATCCTCACGGAGCGTCACCAACGATCTGCTTTGTTGGTTCAACTCGTTCTTCCAAGTCTCAAGCTAACGCATAGGGTTGTTATGATTTAGATGGACTGCAGATCCTCTCCACGGGCAAAGTTGATCGAAAATCTCAGCAGGTGGTTATTTTATCATGCTCGAGAAAGTGGCTGATGTATTCAGTCCAGGTCATGATGGCACAGCAGGTGCTTTGTGACTCTTGCGAAGCAAGAGGAGAATTGAAGAGAGGCAAGAGGAAAATCTGAAGGGGATAGAGGTGCAGCAACGCAAAAGACGTGCCGTTCACACTTTCCGTGAAATAATAACTATCTTTTCATCATGGGATGAACACAGACAAAGTCACAGATTACGATCTTTTGAGAAATCTGGTTTGTTCATTGAAGACCATGGTCACAACGCTTTTGCACATGAGTGGCCGAGGAAGAACATCGTCCAGTGTGGGCTGGCGAGGTACATTACAAGACTGAGATTCTAAATCAAAAATTTAATTGGTGTTGAACTACACAAAGGAAGTGGCTCCCACGCGCCCGCCCCCAACCCCTCCTCCTCCTCCTCCTCCCCGAACGCCGCTCCTTCTACCGGACCTGCACTTTCAAAGAAATCTCTTTCTAGATCGTCAATGGCCCTAATGCAGCGGAAACAAAGATATTTCGGTGATCCGCTCAGTAATGAATCCCGGGACCCGCAAGGTCGTGCTCCATGAACAATCCCTTTCCTGGCTGCTTTATTATTATTACTATTGTAACACACGCAGTACGAACAATCACCTTCAGCCAAGGTCGCCTCTACTGAAATCTCGACGGATTCCTTCACAAGGTTCATAAGTCTGGTTTCAGATCGGAACAGAGCTACTTGTATCGTGTTGATTATCAATCGGTCTTGACCAAGGGCCACAAGAGGATCGTACGGTGAGGAAAGGCCTTGCCTGTTGATCTTACGGAAGTATATCTGGATTCTTCTTCTGCTGCTAAATCGTATCTTATCGACACAATCGTCTACAGTATTATTCGTTGACAAGACAATCTCATGTCTCTGGGCAGGATGTCGAAGACACAAAGCTTATTTCTTGTACGTCCGGTCAGGGAAGGAAGTTCAGGGTCGTTTCTACCGAGCAGTGCAATCCTCGTCAGATAGCTGACTTTATTGACACCGGCACAGTAAGGAGTTGAACACATCTGTAACTCACGTCGTACACTTCGGTCTGCAGTGAGTGAGTTGTGTCAAACACGGGAATATGTTTTGAAGGTTGCTTCAAAGGCGTCGTAGACTCATAGCTCTATTATCCCAAAACAGCGCATTGATGTTCAACGTTTTTGAGAAAATTCGCAGCGCACACGAATGTGGAAGGTTTCGTACACTTTTCAGATTCCTGTTTAATTCTGGTCTGTTCCTCTCTCTCTTGGTAATGGAGCTTCTCCGATCATATCGGAGAAGCTCCATTACCAAGAGAACATCGGAAACAGGTGTTCACAGGAGAAATTTTCATCCGTGGTGGGCAAGTACGTGCACCCCATCTCATCTGTCAAATATCTCCTTTCGAGTGATACCTGTTGAGATCCCCCGGCAACAGAGTATATAATATTGATTGTTCAGAAACTCTCGTAGGTTTTGAGTTTCTTTTTAGTTGTTAATTTTGAAGCTATCAGGCATGTCCGAAAGGCTCAGACTGCAAGGTCACGGCGCATGGGTCCTTCCTTTGGGCCCGCAAAAGGAAGGAAGGAAGGAGTTGCGTGCTGAAGGGCACTGTCTACGACGAGAGAAGTGGGAGATAGTAGGTGCACGGTCAACTCTCTGGAGACAGTCTTGTAAATTCACACACCAATGCGCCACTCGTTCGCAAAAGACGGCCATCCATCATAGCGATAGGCGTCCGGAGCAATGAAGGCTGCTCGCTTCGTTCATACGAATCGAAAAAGAGTCTGAACATCAGAAATTTCGTTGGCATTTCATGCTTTCACTTTCCGTGCATCGAGCTCGGCGCTGCTCAGACTTAATGTACATGGTCCTCAAATGAGCTCCTGTTGATCAAACAAACGGTGGCACATCTGTATGGGATCTTGAACCATGTCCAGGTACCTTTTCAAGACGTACTCGTTTGACTTCCGTCCTCCTCCTACAGAGTCAAACACGTGCGCCCTCTCGGGTCTTGCGCTTGCACTTTACATTGTTTGGGATCGAGCGCAGGAAAGAAAACAAAAGGAGAGATGAACGATAGTGCAATTTACGCACGTGACATTCTTGGTTTTTTGTGCCGATTTGTTGCCTCTTATATGCTCCAACTGCATGGTCTGCGATGCATGAAGTGCCAGCACGCAGGAACAATGTTGTAAGTACTTTCGGCATGAAACCTGGTTTGACTTCAGGGTACGTAACATTATATCTTCGATCCTCAGTCGTACGTCCCGTCCATCTTTTCTAGTCTTCTCGCGCCTCTCCGACTGTATCTTACACTATTTTCACAAAATAATTCATGATCGATGGTAACGAATGGTTAAATTAAAGCTCCTCCCCGAATCCAAGCTGTTAGAAAGCAGGGACTAAGATATTCAGAAGGGTCAGAAGATATTTGACGGAGTCCAAGAAATTCAACTCAACGTACCCGACGTCCGGAGTTTCGATGTTTTTTTCTATTCACTTGGTCGCTCCGTATTTGTCTAAAGGGTCACCAGGTTTGAAGTCATTCAAGTCCTGTGTTAAGTACGATCCACGAAATCGAATAAATGTAATATCTCTATCCTATGGAATGAATTTATAATAATCTTTAAATAATAAATTTGCTTCTCATGTATATGTTGTACAAAGGAGATCACCCCACCACCCATAAGAGCATAAGTAGTGGAACAACTGTATCTTTCACAGTCATCACGACAAAAGAAGTTCCTTGTACTCATTCTTTAACAACATTACGATGTCTAGTGAACAAAGTTCGAGAACCATCATCCCTCACCTCCCATTGAACTCAATAATAGGCTACTTATAATTTCTCATTGTAACGGATGAAACTTGACTCTTTTCGACTTTTTGCTTTATACTTGATAGAATCTTGACACTTTTGCATTTTGTTTAAAGTGAAGTATGATACTATATAAAAACATTGGATTGTCACATAAGTTTGGTCTCATGTCAGAGTTTTGCAAATAATTGAATGTTAACTTATTTGAAAAGTAGATGGAATTGGTCACATTCGAAGTTCTGTCAAAATAAGATGGTTGAATTCAATCCGACATCAATGCTCACTCATAGTTGCTGGTAAGAGAACACTTGAGTGTCGAACAGAAAATGAAAACTATGGATCATATGTATGATCGTTAAATTTGGCATATAAGTCATGGATACATTATACTCCATGGGTATGTCGAAAAGGTAGACCTACAAAGTGATTGTAGTCATCCGAAAGTATATTATTGATATAATATGAAAAACTTATTATGAATCTTTACCCACAAAACCTTTTAAGACTTAGCTTCAAGAGCGTATTGGTGTAGAGTTCCAAGTTCTGTCAAAATTAAGATGATTGAATTCAATCCGACATCAATGCTCACTCATAGTTGCTGGTAAGAGAACACTTGAGTGTCAAACAGAAAATGAAAACTATGGATCATATGTATGATCGTTAAATTTTGGCATATAAGTCATGGAAACATCATTCTCCATGGGTATGTCGAAAAGGTAGACCTACAAAGTGAATGTAGTCCTCCGAAAGTATATTGTTGATTTAACACGGAAAACATATTATGAGTCTTTACCCACGAAACCTTTTATAACTTAGCTGGAAGAGCCTATTGGTCTAGACTTTCAAGTTACGTCTTTGCTAACCTATCGCCAACCTCACAAAATTTTGCTATAATGATGATACAAAAAAGATGCTAAAGATAAAATGTTTTTAGCTAACCTTATAATTTTTTGGTTATAATTGAAACTTAAATATGTAATTTATTTATAAGTTTCATTTTTTAACTTGGACTAACATATATCTTACTCAATATGAATCAAAGAGTACATTAAATATAATATAATCATCTATTTATCCCTTGTGTATTTTTTTTAATGACCATCCAAGATCTTTTGGATGTAATATTTCTTTTGATTAAGATTTTTACTTACTTCAATTATAGTTTCATGTGAGTAAATGTGTGTTTAATTCATCAAAAGTAGTAGTTTTAGCAAATTCAATAACTTTTCATAAGATATATCATTTTTCATAAACTTGAATTGTTTAATATTAACTTAAATCTGATATTAAAAATTATTAAAAATAAATTTAAAATTATTGTTGAAGACTACGTTCATATGGGCTCAAAAACTAAATCAAACATACATACATATATATATATATATATATAATTGATAAAATGATTTCGTGATTACAGTTGATAAAATGATTGAAAATTGGATATAGTTCTCAGATTTGTGTTAGAGATAAGCTCAATCTAGAGCAAGAATTTCAAGCTCTTTTCATCACGGATTGTCTTTTTTTAAAGGAATTCAAAGACCATCCACATTTGGCATCTCTTTACTCGAATAGTAAATGGGATTTGGGATAATTACTCTTGAGAAACAAAACTGATGATTAGTAGTAAACTCTTGACCCAAAACAATAGGAGGATTGGATGGAAACAACTGACAAGTTTGGACATTTTCAAGCTACTTCAGCTTTCACGGTAACATAACCCGTTGAATCTGGCAGGTTATTTTATCTCAACTTTAGTCAAGAAGCTAATTAATCTTAAAATTATGATTCATAATTACGACATGTGTAATTTTTTTGGGGTTGAACCCGTATGATCATATTCATCCTTATCTCTGGTTTTGGGTTCTTTCCATGAAGTTTAAAGCACAAAAAATTTGAAGTTTCCGTTCCCAATTTCCCACTTGGACCTCCTGCCTGACATATTAGATCTCATACATCACGAAGTCAACCTTTCCCCAAAGCGCTCTGTATATCCAGAACACATGCCATCATGATATTGCATTCCAGTCCCAGATTCGGAACAATCCGTATTGTCCCCTTCTGAACGATAAACTACACTGGAATTTTTACACTCGCCCAGTATGAACAAGAGATAACCACAGCAGCGAAGACAGGCAAATGATTACTAGAATAGATGTTAGCTCACAAAACGTCGGCACATGGAGAGGCTAGTTTGAGCTACGACTGTCAGTGGGGCGGATTTGTCGTGTTGACCTTGAAATCTAACTATGTGATCTTGCTCGTTCAATCGTCATGACCTTCTTACATTGCTTCCTAGCAGCGTTACATGTCTCACATTAATGTTACTTTCGAGGGGGTGAAAGTAATTCCAAAAACGATTCTGTTTGGGACCCACAGCCGATAGAGACATGGTGCAGGCTGCTGGCCTTGGACTACATCGGAAGGACTAAACTATCATCCTTCTAAATCTTCATTGGGGCACTGAAGATTGACAAGGATGAGAATTTAGTCAAAAGGGTAGTCAGTATGAAAATTTCAGCAAGTAGACATCTAGTCTGACGAAATTCCTCAATCAGGTCCTTTTATTCCTGTGAGTACCGGGACGACGATAGTCTCCATCGTCTGCACTAGCTCGAGCACCGAAGCCAAGGTTGTGGGACAACAGTCTTGTACTGAACAGCATAACCACGACTGTGTACAAAGAAATATCTGCTTGTGATCTGAACTAGCCGAGGAAAATTTCAGAGGGAGAGGCTAATGTGTAAAGATTCAATCCCCGGCTACAATACAAAGGCTTAACAGAGTTTAACAGAGACCAGACAGGACATGCCTGTTAAACTCTGGCAAGGCTTCGTTTTGCAGAGAGAGGAGCAATGGCAGGTATTCCTGTGAGGGAGGGACAGCCAACGAGAGCTTTCCCGTGCTCTTCTGGGACGAGCACCAACCTCCCGACTTTGCCGACACAAGCACGCTTAAAGAAATTTTTCGTAATCCTTCGCTTCAATGGCGTCCAGAATCTGTCTGTACAAAATCGGCGACGTCCAGATGGGCCACCGGGTCCCTCTGAAGCTCCTTCACATCTGTCTGAGCTTCGTCTGCTCTGATTCTTCACGAAGGCTCGACGCTGATCGGTCACGCTACCAGCGAAATCATCCTCATCCTCAGAGCGCTCAGACTAAACGGCTCGTGCTCGTCCCGAGGCAGATACACTCGATTTCGTCGAGCACCTTCGCCCACGTCTCGCAGAATGGGGGTGAGCTGGTGGTTCGCGAGTCCCAGAGCGAGGTCGGAATCGTTCGCACTTTGCGTGTTGCTTTCGAGTCAGGTGAGATGCCAATAATTGAGACGCACTCATGATCCCCACCGCGCCCGCCACGTCGTAGCAGTAGAGACATAATTCATGGAAACTGCTGTAGCGCGCGACTTGACTGAGTCCATCCGCATCCCGTCGAGCATCTCGCGGAACTGCATCCTGCAAATCGCAGGACTGCCCTGCGGCAGATGTCCTCCAGCACCTTCTTCTCCCATCGATCCGTGGCCGTGCTCGGCTTTCAGTCTAGCTCGTCCGTCCTCTCGCCATCGTTCCCAAATTGAAGGTTTTCGTGCACTCGGCGCACACTTCCCCGCAGCGATCATAAGCTCGGATCGCTTGATCGAGCACCCGGTGTGCTCCACCATTCCTTTCCGCCGCCGGTGCTGCTCGTGCTCGTCCAACATGAATGGATGCCTGCTCGGCCACAAAGTCACTCACTGACCGCGAGCATGGGCCTACCAGATAGGTCGGTGTCGCGCCCCGACTGGCTCGATCTGCCGATTGCATTCATCCATGGCTTTTCCTCCTTTCTGCGAGCGACTCATTCTATATGTGGTAACCACAAATCTCAGATGAACTCGGAAACACCGTTCCGCTATGATCGAATCTCGGCGTAAAGTAGCGCATGAGTGCTCTTCTCCTGACGTGAGGTGTTGCATCACTGCCATATCCTTGAGGACCTCGACTCGAACGACCTTTTCTATCTAGATCAGAGGCCAATGAAAAGCGATGGAAAAGCAAATTCGGACCTCGCCTCTCGCTCAGCGCATTTCGCGAAGTAGACGCTGAAAAGGATTGTACTGAAAAGCCGCTCGATCATGAGGAGGTTGAATTACGAGTGGACTGATCCCGCCTGAGATATACGTCCTCCGTCGAATGAGTTTCTATCAGTTTAGCCGTGCGTTCATTTCAGATACTTTGGTTGCGGATCGGGCATGGACTGTCGTTGTCATTAGAAGGTTCATGACATGCGGAAGCAGCTGCTTGAGGAATAATTCGGCAGCCACCCGAACCCGTCGTGCATATTTTCAAAGCACAGGAGAGCGACCGATCGTTTTCCTCCCAGTGAGCTTTGTATGATTCGTAGCTGTCAGGCTCACGTCATTCGGGGCAATTTCGGGTTGTGATACATATCAGCTCCAGGCAAATCGAGCTCTCGACGCCTATGAGTTCAATAACCCTCGGCATCAGGTAGCTGCTCCCCGTGATTGACAAAGAGACAGTTTGCAGGGACTCGCGATGCTGTATCATGAGCGTGTCCAGCACGTGAAATGTCCTGTGAATAACAATCGCTTAAACAGTCGATTATCGTTCACATCTTCAATGCAACTTGGACAATCTTGAGGGCATTACTCCTTCAGCTTTGGCTCATTTCATTTGGGGGGCTGGGCTGTGCTGCTGGGATCCTCAATCTCAAGCCACAGGTCCGCTGATAAATTTTTGAACGATTTTCTCCAGAAGCAATGCCAGTGGCACTTTCGAGCTAGCAGTATGAATCGATTTGAAAGCCTCAGTCTTTCTAATCAGTGTACGTAACATTCGGTCCGGCTGATCAGAATCACTGATGTGGAGAAGCTGACCTGGGGGAAAGCGAATTCGTCTTATTTAAGGTTCTGACTCAATTCTTGGTGAATTGTGTCTGTGATTAGCGACCTTGGGTGCGCATTGTCATTGTCCGAGTTCGGTCAAGTCTTCGAGCATGCTGTCATAATGCGTGTGTTCATCTTCAGTACAGCTTGTGTCGGTTGTTAGCTCTTCCATGCGGGAAGTCTGAATGTCTTCGCATTGCATGTTTAAGCTTCTCATCCTACTCAGTGTTTCTTACTGATGCATTCAATGCATGATGTATCGTTGAGTGTCTTAAACTTACGTGTTCCAGTTTCTTTCATAGATTGTCCTTTCATGGTAGTTTTCAATATCATCATCCAGATCTGAAGATGATATCACTTTGGTAGAGTAGACTTGCTTCTTTTAGCTTTTTTAAAAATCATTTACTAGCTAAAAAGTTATGATATACCTTGGAGAGGCAACTGATGGTTCTTTTATGGGAGTTTTCAATATCATCATCCAGATCTGAAGATGATATCACTTTGCTAGAGTAGACTTGTTTCTTTTAGATTTTTTTTTAAGCATTTACTAGTGCAAAAGTTGTGATAGTCCTTCGATAGTCAACTGACGGTCCTCGTCTGAACTGCTTACGTGAGTCATCGTCCTTTCAAGATGGCACAATGATGAAAGAGAGAACTAATAATATATCAAACATAAATTTCATGCCTTTATAAAACAGCTTTTCTCTCTGAGATCAATCATTTACTTCTTGTTGGACCACTTCCACCTTAGAAGTCTATTACCTCTAACAAGAAAACAGGTCGTACTCGTCACCAGATTCTCGAGTGTTATTCGGAGGTCGCACAGCTTCCTAAGTGAAATTGTGTTCTTTACTAGACATCGTGGACCCTGCGATGGTGGACGTCAAATGGATTGTGTTGTCTCAAAGCATTAGTGAACTCAGAGCAGGCACAAGTTCTCAGATTCCTACACTCCTCCCTTAGACTGGGGTCAGATATCCGGTCGTACTGGATATCTGACTAGACATGTTCCGATCGGTAAACTCCCAGAAAGATATTCTTAAAAATTTAAATCGTGGAACATGCTGAAATGAGATCTGAAGCCATGAAGGCCCCTTCTATATCTTAAAGATTTGTTCAAAGTATAAGGTTAGAATATCCATCACTTAGGTACCTGTCTGTATCCACAGTCGTCTACTATCGGCTCTGAAACGTGTATGCAGTTGAACTTCACCTTGGACCTTGTCAATCACATGTCGTTGTTCGGACATACTTGCAAGATTGTCTAGATGCAGCTTGAGCAATTAGACGACTGTCAGAAGGCTGCACTCTTCCTACTCTCAGGACAACAACGAAGAATCCTATCAATCATTCACAGCAGATTTATTTACCTGTGGGGTGAATGACTTCATTAAAAAATCCAAAGTAGGAGATGCAGGACAGACTTGTGTGACACCCAGGGTTTTCTGAACTTTTGAGCTATTATCGTACGATGGGAGAGATCGGTGTGCACTTCCGTGAAAGGTTTATTATATAGCGGACCATGGGCATAACGAGTGACATGACCATCGTAATATATCCCCGAGCCTTTCGAACTCAAACCTTGCAGCCCCGAATAAATTCGGCCTCACGAAATTGAGCATTTTTTCATTTGGATATCGTTCATTTTCATCATTTAGACAAAGCTATAAGACGATTTGCAGGGAAGCATACGAATGGAGTTCTAGTCTTCATTATGGCCACCATGGAGGACAGACTGTGGTCAGAGAATCTCTACTCCGTTGAGCTCCAAACTCTAGGATTATCTGTAGAGTTAGTTTACTACGCACGACTACTATTATAAGCAGTCTGAAGATGATTCCAAATGAGTTTTTTTAGTGAACAAGGTCTCTCAGCTACAAACAGGATCGAAGTAATCTAGCGTAGCTACCATTTCTGCCTTCTTCCCTGTAAAAATTAGTTCAGAATATCTGTGAAAGATCAAATCAAGTTTTTTCTTCAGTGTAGTGGACACATATAAATAAGATGTAAGAATATCATCATCAGGAACCACTTTCGGTTATAGATACCCAAATATATTTCTCAGAAATTAGAAATATATTCAATCCAACTTTCAGTTTAGGCCATCGAATTTGTGAATCCTGCAGCTTTGCTTTTAATAGATTCCTTAATCTGTTCTTCACTTCTAAGTGAATGAACGTGAGCTACTGAAGCAACTAATAGGAAGAGGTAAGAAACATCCTAATCAGGCCTCCCGGATTGCTGGAAAGAAAAACAACTGCACATTTTACTTCAACTACACAATCTTTGATCATTGTACAGATTTCAGCACTCGGGAATGTCTGGGTGGTGTTGATCATATCTGATTGGGAAGTTTCATTACCGAAAATAAGTAAATACAAACATGGCTCAATAAAACTGATTACGAAGTGACCAGAAATAAAGAACTGAACTCAACCTGCCCTGGCTTCGATGCATAGAGCAAGCGAAGTAGTAGATTCACAAACTAATAGACATGCCAAGAGCACTCATAGAATTTATGTCAATTTAAATACGATGAAGAAAAAGATTTTTTTCTCAACCTTTGAAAAGCTTATACAAAACACGCATATTTCAATATCGAGCTAAAACGTATCAATGGACTTCAAAAGGTCTCGTTAATTGGGTGCGGGAGGTTTACCACTTATGCCACTAATCTGAGAGTGAAGGAGAGATTAAAATTGAAAGAAAAAAATTTTCTGTTGCAGTTCTGTTAAGAAAAAAGTGATTTCAAGCAAGTATGACGGGCTCTATAGGTTGCCCAGGGTACAAAGGAAATAAGAGCATGTATTCTCTGATTGGCTGGTCAGCCATGGAGTCTTAGTAAGCCTTTTTCTACGAGTAGTACTGTCCATAAATCTGGAAAGTTTCACTCCGTTGTGCTTGGGTGAGCCAGATAATACATGTAGATCTGGCAGTAAGAGAAGAAGAGGTTTTCCAAATGAATCGAGGTTCAAAAACTTTGTTGGGAATTTCCTTTTGTGATCAGAGTATCAGTAAGAAGGATGAGTGTGAACCATTAGTTTCTCTATGCTACTTGCAATGTTCTTTTTGTTAAAGATAGGTTGCATGATAGTGGACCAGAATTTCTGTCACTACAATAAGGACGTGAATGATATCTTCCCCAATAGTTAGATTGATATTGTTCCGAAAATATAAAATTTGTAGATGGGTTGTAAGTTTTGAAAATCATTTACAAGTTCTATATTCTGAATTGGTTTAGGAGTCAGGTGGATATCAAATCTCAGATGGACCAGGATATTGAAAAGTCCGACTCTTGTCGAGGAAATTTCGACTCATCCGAAAGACATTTATTGTGCGCTGATTTTGACTACCTCTTCTAACTCAGAAGAACACAAGCTTGTACAACTGTATGTGTACAACTCGAGTTAAATTCCTTTCAAATCCATAACCAGGAAAGATGTGAAATTGAAAGTACTCGATTGACTTATGATGTTACAATATAGATATACCGAAATATACGTATTCCTGGAAAGAGTTCAAACAACGAATTCTAAATTATTCTTTTCATATGTGGTACATGGAACACTATGACATGAACTGCAACTCATGTTTTATTACTCATATTGCTGGACAATGTTAATATGTGATTTCAATTTTGGTTGAGGTGAGAACCTCAAAGACGTGTAAAGTCACTGCAGTATTAGTGGATTGACGCCATTTTGCATGCTTAACCAAAGCTTGGCGAGTATAAAACTGAAGTTCAGTGTCTCCTGTACGACCCTTGACGTGAATTGTCTTGATTCCAAGATATATCTAAATCCTGCACCTTCTGCCGTAAAGACTGTCAAAAAACCTCGACTTTCAGCTGCAATTGTTCTACATGTTCAACTTACGTCTAAACTATCGACTTTGTTAACAGTAAAGTTATGCGAATTGACAAGTCTTCGAACTAAAGTGGTGTAGAGAGGATTCAGTCAGATTAATTAATGATACAAATGGAAAGAGCTCTATAAATGATCCCTCCAGAAGTTTGCAAAGATAATTTGACAGGGATTCGCCGCCGGGAATGCAATAATAGATTGTGGTTCACCAACAACTAGAATGATCATCAGTTGTCGCTTGACCTCACTCATCGTGGTGGGTATCTGGCCGAAGAAGACAACTTATATCATGTTTTTCCCGTGCAGGCTGATATATCATACCATGCACGAAAAAACATGTTTTAGTGATAAGAGAGCAAATTATTTAATGCTCCAAATTCTACACGAGGATCTGTCGAAGATAATCTGACAGTCCACAAACATCATCCAGACAAAAGTGTTTTGTTTTCTCTTGGTGCAAACCTACTGCATGGGAACAGGAAACACTAATTTCAATATTTTATCCACTACCAACGACCTACAAGTTTAGGTGTTGGGCTTTAGCAGTGGTAAGGGCTTTAGCATTTCCCAAGTTAAACCTTTCACCATTCAGAGCAACTTTACACCTCGGGATTAGCAGTCGCGAATGCAAGTATAGATTGAGGTTCAATGACAAGCAGAATGACTTTCTGTTCTCACTTGACGTCACTCATCGTGGTGGGTTCTCCGGCCAAAGAATAAAACTTATATCATGTCTCTCACATACAGACCATTTTATTTTCACCGCAGGTATGAGAATGAGAAGTTGAGAAAATGAGAAAACAGGATTCAGTGAGAGCAGATTGTTCAGACCTCCACATTCTGCACAAGACTACGTTGTCGGTAGGGATTTTGGCTGGGTCCTGGGAACACAGTTTTTGTGATCTCTCGTGCCTGGTACGATACTCAGACTTCTTCCATATATCTCGTGTAGTCACATTCTGGAGTCCACAGCCCGCCCAGAATAGTATATAGAAACGGACAATAATGCATTTTGGGCGCCTATGAGTCGGTAAAAATATAATATCGAACAACACGAAAGCACTGTTCTCCGCTTAAAAGCTGACCTCGCTAGCAGGATTCTCCAGATCATGCCTGCAAGCACGATCATATGGCTTTGCGGCGATGCGAGAAGGACCTGGAATGCACTCCACGTGAGCTCTACCACGCGAATACAGGAATGGTGGACAGCCACATTCTGAAGTACATCACAGAGTGAATCATTCTATATGGACATATCTTATAAGTTTTAAATAGATTAACAGTTATTACAATTTTTAAAATATTTGAGAAAATTTTTTATCTTTCCATAAATCGTTAAAATTATTCCAAATCATGCAGTCTAATAACCGGAGAAGATGAATATATTCCTTCATCTTCTATCTCATAAAAAACATCACAAGACTATTGAAAAAAAGAGAAATATTTACAGTCTAGAACAACACCAACTTGTTGACCTATTACGCCTGGCCACATTCTTATGAAAATTCCTCAAATGATTGAAGTTTAGTCATATGACTTTATTAGATTTAAATATAGATGTCAAAAATGATTCTCATCTTAGAGCTTCAAGATAGATCTCTATGCCCACCTTGATATTATGCTTGCAAGTTATATTATCTTCCTTGCCAATTGCAGGTTAGATAAAAAATGTCATGCATATGAATTATCTTGACCATATCAAGGTTGTTCTTCTGAAGAGTATATTTCGATAGACTCAACGTGATGCAATGAATTTCTTCCAACACCTTGTCAGCAAGCTCTGCTCAATTTTTTTAAAATCGAAATTTACAATATGAAAATCACTTACACAATCTCAGTATCTCGTCGTGTTCGGGTACCTCCTCCTACAGTTTAGTCTTTTCATCTGATCATCTTCTCAACTCGTTTCAATTACTCAACCGGAATTATACATTACAGCTTTTTGAAAATCATACAGTCTCATTTATTGGAACCATATGCTTAGTGTGTTCGTCTTGAAGAAATTTTTCAATCGATTTATCCTAAATGCTCCTCATAACCTTTTCGAAGTTAATGTGTGAATGTAAGACGCATGGATCACTTTCCAAAGATAGCTCTGTCAAAGTTATTTTTGGGTACTCTCTTGCGCTTGCCGCTCCCCTCCAGCCTCAATACATCATGAGGAGAGACTAAAGATACAATCTTGCTCGGTTTATTTCCTTAGGTCCGATTAAACCTTTAAGTATTGGATTACTCAGAAATGAACATGGAGTCAAAAATCTATCTAATTGGACTTCTTCTTTATGAAAATTCAAATATGAAGATTGCTATTTAGGGAGCTTTAACTCCTAATTGCTTTACTGAAAGAATTAATATATACAACTCTAGACTAGACTAGGAGCATGGACACATATATCTAAAACCATAAAACTTAACGGCTCATGACTAATTAGCCTCAAAGTGAATACAATTCACAAGTGATTAGAATCAAAATCAATCCAATTTAGTTTTTCCACTGGGTTATTGCTATGGTATGAATCTTAGATCAATTCATAACACAATATACAAAAAGAGGATGTGTATGTGCTACCCTATTAGACCAGTTCGTTTATCTTTTGGTTAAGCACTATTAATTAGAAAGTTTAGTGTCTTACAAAGGAAATCCAGAAAGGTGCTCATAATCCAAATTTTTTCTTCCAATATATCTGTATTTTACGTCAATGGAAAATATTAGAAGACTGCCTTGCCATAACATAGAAAAATAATGTAAGAATACAAAAGTCAAACCCGTCGCAATGGGTACGGTAAAGCGAGAGCACTGTACCTTCACAAAAAGATAAAAAATTCGTTAGAGTGAGATGACGTTGGAGAAACAAGACAAATAAATTATCTAACTTTGAGTCTAGTTCAGGTTAAATTGTAAAAGGAGACGATAAACAAATGCGGTCACATGACTTGATTAATATCAAGACCGCACTTATTTAAAATCGGAGGCCTAGATCTGTAGCTTTAGCACATGATCTATGGCCATAAGAGCTATGCTGTATACACATGTAAAGATATCACAAATTGGAGACAATTTCTGTAGAGTAATTGAAAACTGTAGGTCACAAATTGCACAGCACTGAGGGAAATAATAATAAAACATCAGTCCATTTTATATAAAAACTTATATAAAAAAAGCTGGACATATTATGGCAGGCAAGTCTTCGATGATCTCGACGTGGCTTTGTGCGATCTACAATACCTCTGTACTAATCAATTCTTACAACAATCTCCATTCTATAGATATTCCAAGCTCTTCTTACATCTATGCCTGTCTCGTCATGCTACGCAAATCCGTATCAATGTGGAGGCCAACCGAAAGTTCTGACAATGTCACTTCAGAGCCCTGAATTCCTAATGAGCAGATTAGCTTTGTTGGAGGTCATGCAAGTACTAATTGACTACGTACACACGCAAGGTATACGATCCCAGCCAAATTCCAGTGCACGACCTGAGACGAAGATCCATCGCATCTAACGAGTAAAATATGTTTCTGTCGAAACAAGTATCATACGGCAATTCGCAGCTGAACTCGATCATGTGTAAGGCGAATCCTCTTTTTTGACTAACGCTTACCAGCACTAGAGAAACATGAAAATGGAGATTTCACAACTCTGTATTTGTACACACTCTGGGGCACTTCAGCTTTGAAACGAGCACTCACGAGAGTTAAACCGATACGAGTATATACAGGACACGAGCAAAGGGGACGGAACGCTAGGCGTTATCTCACAATGTCCTCCTCACATCACAGTCACAAAATCACCGTCTCGTGCACTTAGTAGATGGAAAGGCTGCTTCGAGTGTGATGAAGCTGCCTCTTCGGTGGACCTTCTATCTCAGTGGCCTTTGCTCTGACGTCTATTTCGTACTGTGGAGCGTAGCTGTAATGCTTTTCCTCATGTAGAGGGGGCTCATTCAGGAAAGCCCAGTTGCTTTTCCTCCACCTATTGAATCGTGTAATTGAAATCAGCGTTGAGGCAATGAACTCTAGACTGAATGAAACATGATCTGCTACTGTTATTAAAATGAACGTCGTCAGATACAAGTTGCCAGGAATTGACTGCAAAGAGTTCTGAGTCTCACCAGCCAGGTTTGTTGCTTTCCTCTTCGCGATCATATCGTCTTGGTGTTGTCGGTGTGCTGCCACTAGTACTTCCACCCACGCTACCACCCTCTGACTGCATATCTGGGTAGTATTCTTCTGAATTTTCCTCAGTAATTTCCTGTCCAGCAAGATAAGGTTTAGAAGCTTTTACTAGTTTAGTTCGGGCGTTGATGTTATCTGGGGTCAATCGACAGCAGTTTCGTACATATCCTCTAGGTGTCTAGAGAACATGTGGGTCTATATGATATTGGATGATGCACTTACTGAGAAGAGAGATCGAGTTCTAGCGATAGACGCAGCTCTATGGGCTTCTTCAAGGTGCTCTTTGTTCAGAGAACGCTTTGCTCGCCAGTATCTGTTCACCTGACTCCGCGTCATCGAAGAAGTGGAGCGCTTGAGAACTGCGGCATTGCAATATCAAATGCATATCAGCAGAGTGGATATTGGCTGATCCAATCACAGTCTTTTCAATTCCGAAATCCGTTCTGTGGTAGTTCGGGACAAGCTAATCTCCATCTATCAAATGGCAATACAACTCTCTCAAAGCGTCAAAGTTTTCTCGCTGTACCCTGAGGAACATCATAAATAAGAACCAAAGATTAATGCCAGACAACTGTTTCATTCAAAAGTGGCAGAGTCAACGTAGATATCAAGTGTAAGAGATTGACCTTTCTTTTCACACGGGGGGTTGGTTGACCATCCGGCTGTCAGAGAACCCATAATGTCTTACTTGGTTCTTTCCTGAAGAAATAACTGCAAACTGGATACTTCTCTGCTCACGGAGACTGTACTGCTAAGAATGAAGATCTCATTCACTTGCACTGATTGTTGCTTCCTGGTACCAAAGATGTCGTCCACCTTGTTTCTCTGCACTCCTTCGAATGGTCTATCGTTCTGTCACTGGAACTCAAACGACAATCACGCAGCTGAAGAGCTTTTTTTTTCGACAAATTGAACTGAGGCTACAAAATTTTGACTTTGCACTTATAAGTCTCTCCTTCTCAGTACATGCTCATTAAGGTATTGAGCTCCTCTGCAGACTTGTCTGTCTGAATGGGTTGGATTCCATCTCGAGGTTTTCCTCTTTATACCGAATGTCTTGACCCATGTATATTCTCTTAACAGTAGCCAACACAAAGGCAAACAATGGGTAAGTAGAACCTTGAGATCGGAAGTCCAGCGTGTGTGGCATAGGTTCGATTCAACCAGTTATGTTCAGGGCAAGCCAGGCTTGTTTAGGCAAGTGATGTCGAGGCGGAGATTGTGCAAGCAGCTTGGCCTGTTTAGGTGATGTCCCCAGGAAATGGGATGAACAATATAACAGACTTCCATAGATGAACATCCATCAACAAAAGTTTCTCAAACTCGTGCACGTAAAGCACGGATATCTAGTTTTCTAGGGAAGCCTGCTTGAGTAATCTTGTAATTAACTGTAGAAACAACAGAAGACTCGTGCTGACTAACTCGCATTTCTCTAGCTGATGGTCTGATACTTCCCAAGTCTTGGGGTATAACAAGAACAGCAGAGTCAGTAGGAACCGGGCTAGTGTTTTTGTATGGAATCCTCCAACTATTGAGACTTGTCTCTTGCAAGAGCTAGCCTGAAGATTCAGCTCTTGTCCAGAAAAATGATATGATCGTGAACTGAACAGGTCGGGGACAAAAAATCCGTTCGTTGAAGGTCTTTTCTAAGTTCAGATCTAACAGTGATCCAAACAGGTTGTAGCACATGAGTATTTACTGTAAATTATTTGCTCTCTTCCATGAGACTGCTTGCCCTACAAGTATGATGTAATCAAAAGAAAGCGTATCTGCTTCTCCCAGCAAATATGACCGAGTGAATTTGCACCTGAATTCTTGTGAATACGCTGTCTCGCTCTCAATTGATAATTCTACGGATTCTCAAAAATTGCTAATTTCAGTAGGACCGAGTAGCCAGGTAGTTCTAACGTAGATCTCAAATGTTGAGACGATGTTCCATAATATTTGGGAGAACATACGATCTCACACGAAGAGTAGGAAGAGTAGAACGTTAAACTACAAAGAGTAAGACGTTAAACCAAACTCCCTCAGTTGAATAAAAATCCTTTCGTGGTTTAAGTTAGATCTAGTAGGTTTACTAAAGCTAAGTTCGTAATAGTTCGTAAGTTGACCTACTGTTCGTAATATAAGACGTGGAACCATGAACAATAAGTCAACTAATGTGGCAAACTATTCGGAGGCGGGTTCAAAGGAGGCATATCCATGAAGGCGCAAACCGCAGCTCACTTAGTCTCTTTTCTACCGCTGATGTACGTCAGGTAGCAACTGAACTGGATAAAGAACATCCACATCGTTTAAACGGTAATAGGATATTTTAATACTACTGTATAGTTAATTACACTGCAACTATCCTATTATATCCAATTGAAGCAATTTGTATGCATGTATCTCTTCATTTGCTCACTTGCTCGAATCTCCTCGACGAATGTTGCATGAGTCTTTTTCCAAATTTTCAGCTCGACATTCAAAAGAATAAGAAAATAGTGCGTTGGATATTGACGTAATGCTCGGTGAATATAGCGTTCCCAATTGTAGATTGCTGAGTCTGACCTCCTTCCAAGCATGGACATGCAAAACAAAATGCCAGTCGGCAGGTGTCCGACCATGCCTGATACTAAATAACAGAATAATTAGGCAATGGTGACATATCACGTTTGTCCTTTGAAGGTGGCGCTAGAATTGTTAAGGCCTCTAATCGGTAGTTTCTAGACCAAACGGCCTGTATATGGAGATATTGCAATCAGTACTTCCCGGTTAGTTCCAATGATCGGGTTTAGTGTACCCAAAACCGTCTAGTAGCTGCGTGAAATATTACAGCTCTTTCTTCAGAGCTAAAGTGGGGACCTGCAATTTCTATCATATTGCAAGCTTACTGATGTGACCGGAACCAGCTCCTAACAATGGGAAATTGATCAATGGAAAATTAATCATCTGCACTCATTCCTACATATCTCAACGTCATTTCAGGGATAAATTCTTTCGCTCCTACTTACTCTCACTAGCGTATAAGCCACGCAGCTATTCGTAATAAACGTAGATGTATTCTACTCAAATATTAAAATGCGCGATTTGGTTCGTACTCACGAAACTTTCATAGATCACCTTATGTGCATTTGTTTGGTGGCATGTGATTGCAGATGCGTAAGAAGAACATATAAGTGTGTACCTTCTCGATGCTCAGGCTGCGAAGCGCAGAGACAAATTCTAAACTCCCTGGAGCTTTCAAGGTTGTGGGTGTTCAATGGTTATTTTGAGATACACAATAGAGACGTTTTCTCTTTCAAAGTTTCTGGCTCCCGAATACAATATTGGGATTAATCGGCAGTTTCCTTTAAATCTGCCAGTGTAATTCTTCAACGATATTCATTTGCACATTGGAATAAAAGTCCGAATTTCCATGGATAGATAGGTATTACTTACCATTTATTTTCTTAAGAGATAGAATCTACATTAGATGGATACTCATTATATTATCATGATGCTCCTGGTATGTTGAAGTTTGCTCTAAATTCGCATAGCCTTTTCATCTGTGCGAGACTAGCCTTCACGTCTTTGTCATATCGTGGCTGGTAATTATAATTCTCCTCCTTGAGCACCAGCGGTTCATTACGGAACTCTCAACTGCTCCTTCTCCACCTGATTAATATCTAAACTAACTTCAGTATATATGTAAATATATAACTTCGGTATAACTTTCAAGGTCGGATTTCGTAAATGAGGCTAGCCTTACAGACTGAGGATAAATACTAGGTACATGTCTCATTCGCTGACTAGACTGACATTTAATTGTAATCGGCTGATCAGCCTGGTCTGATTTTAAAAATCAATTTCATCGATACATGGAATGGTTGACGAGCTGCTTCCAAAACCTCCTCCTTCAGATTGCAAGTCAGGGAATTTGTCTTCGGAACCCTCCTTTGTGATCTCCTTTATAGATTCGAAACTTAAGCTTGTAACAAAGAAAGAGGAAAATAGTGCACCCAATTTGAGGTAATCTTTTAGCTAAGAAATTATTCCTAAAAAATCGGATACAAGTTTGCTTTTTATATGCTACTTTTTGTGTGTGTGCAAAGGTAGTTCATGTTTTTCACAACTTTCTCATCTAAGCTCCTATTTCTGTAGGACATCACATCACACAGACCTTGCGCTTTGAGACCAAAACTGAAAAAAACACAAAATAAGCAATTGCCACAGTATCAACTGATAGAAATTTAAATTCAAGTTTTTTTCAAAGCAATTTTTTATTGTTACTAGTTCTTTGGCATAGCCAGCTTTGTTAAAATATTGGGGATAATACTCACGGAGTCATAGATCGAGATCTTAAAAAGGTGCATTCTCTTTTTTTTTCCTTTTATGCTCCGCTTTCAGCGAATGAGTGGCCTACCAGTATGTATTCATCTATGCCCTGGTTACTGAAGAGGAAGAACACTTGAAATGTGGAACCAAGTCAAAGAGCAGAAATTGAGCACTACATCCCGATCAAGTTAACAACTTTTCTCAATTTAGGAGCCCAAAATAACATGTCCGCAGTGCATTAGGTTCAGTTAATTGTGCACCATGGAATCAATCAGAAACTCAAGGCTTAAGTATTCTAATACGTAAGCACCAATCTATTCTCAGCCTCATTTCTGTTTTTCATTATGTTGGACTTGTTCTTTTAACTGGAGTGAGATAATTTCATACTAGAAACAGGAAAATCATTAAACTGCTCTCAGTACATCATCCAAGAAAGATCAATGATCCCTTATCTACAATGGACATGTAACCTTGTTAGTTCCACGTAACACTAACCATTTTCATTGCCAAAACCCAATCCCAGGCTTCACACACCACGTGGCTTGCCTTCGAAACAGAGCCTCTCTAGATCCTAACGCGTTCTCATCCTTAGGAATCTTCCAGTACAGTCTGTCATTGACGGAATTGTCAACACACTCAAACTTCACCTGCTTTAGTATAAATTTGAGCCGGTTGTTTCCATTGATGATACTCAAATCCAATTTTTTCCAATATGTAAGTCTTAGCTATAAAAAAATATTAGAAGTAATAAAAAAAATGGTAGAATATATAATCACACAACGCAAAAGCTCTCGTTAGACTTCTGGACATGACGAAGATATTGACTCGTATCATGATCCGACCGTCGTGTACATCGAGACAGTGATTGCATGAGTAAAGCGTTCAGAAGCGACCTCGCTTTTTATTTTTGGTTGGGTTTGGTTTGTTCACGCCGACTTCGACACATGAACTTGTGAACTAATTTGAGTATGAATCTAAAAGTTCTTTCCACCCCAACTTCTGGGATTGATTGATGATCCCAAAAGCGCGAAATCACTGTTTCTATTTTCTAAGGTCAAAGCATAGTCATCAAGTCTAGAACGGCTGGACGTGCATCAATATATACAGACTCTCACTTGTTTGGCATCAAGTTCTGCTCTCTGACCTGGAATATATCGTCTTCTTTCTCCCTGCATCATATTGTCAAGATATCGATGAAGCACGGCATAGCATCAAATTGAAAATATGACTTTTGCTAACACTTGAAATGTGAGACCTTATGCTATTATGGACGTAATATTAGTGATAGTTTGAGTGAAGAGCCAATAAGTTGTCGACATCTTTCTTCTGTTACGGATGCATCTGAGTTTTATATGAATCAAACTATTTGATCAGGAATACCTGACGAGTGCAAAAAAATTGCTTCTTTAATGCGCCTCCAATAATTATTGACTGATTACCTGAGGGCCTTTACCTAAAGACCAGGCAGTAGTCGACGAGACTTTGATGTTTTTTCTGGTGTTCTGCCGCGTATGTAATACAACCATAGTCTCTTGGAGTACTGTACTTAGCTTACATCACTGGTTACTTTTTCCTGTAATCATACTTCATAATTCGGATTCTGGGTTTTACAAATCACTATAGGTTGTCTACGTAATGTTCTGAGTCATTGTACCTTAGAAATCTATTGTGTTGTCAAAACGAAGCATATACCATATATCAAGAATCATCCACAGGTATTATCTTCTTTGTAAAGTATCATTCATGCAGGTGTTCTTATCGTTTATATATTGTTATACCTCGCAAACTACACCATATATTACTGCACTTGTACATACGATGATCTTGCCATCATGGGTCAGTAGGAAGGATTAGTACAACAAATTTGCTCATTTCTTGTTTGAAACACGGCTGATCATTGCTTTATCAGGAAGAACTTTTCAAGAACTACAGTAAATTATAGGCTGTGAACAGAAGCTTTTATTTAATTATAATGGAGCTGTTTAAGTACCTAATCTTTCGTCTTACCTTATATTATGCAGAAGAAGACTACACCAACTCAGAGTACATTTTTGTTTTTTGTACTTCGGTTTCTTCAGTTGTTTCAGATTTTAAATTTCAGATCACTTCCGCATCTCTGTGTGTCTCTTTGTGTTTGTGCATAATTACTTAAGATGTAGTAACGTTCAAGTCTGAATGTAGCGAATTTCTGGTGACAGTTGTCGTTGATCATCTAAGATTGTTAGTTCACATCGGCTGGTGTTAACAGAATTTGACAATCGGCTCTTAATCTCTTCATTGAAGTTAACTGCGCGGATACACTTTACTTTAACCGTCGCACTGAAACAGGTAAGGGGCTCAATCAATGGGTGATTCTCGACTCTCGAAAGCTTGGACTGCAATTAATTCCAGTATCTGATGAAAGTTGGAAGACCGTAAGTGCAGTTGGTCTTCACATTCACGAATTTAATCTATATCTGGAGTGGAGATCCTGAAACATAACATGATTCTTTGATGTCAAAACTATTTTCTATTACCTACTGAACTGTCAATAATTTGTCTTCGGCAAGTTGCTTGTATGCTCAATTTCGAGGCCCTTGCTTATGATCGCCCTTTAACATACCCCGCAATAAGATAAAATTCCTTTTACATATGACTGCACGATATTTTCCCGATATTTTCTTTGCGGATATAGAACCATGATCGCTCTTCAAAATACTGACTTGAACTTGCAAGCTGAGCTTCGTTGACCTCAGAGATCCTAAAGCCAATGTGCAGCACGTTCATCAAGGTCCAGTCAGTAAGTGCGAGACAACTCATATCAGATTCTCCAGGCGGAATTTCATGAACATCCCACATCTCGTAGGAGTATTTTATTTCAGTTTTTGCATCAGTGGACTGTCATATCCAAATCCAACACGTTGGACACTAGAAGTCTACTTCCATGATCCACTTTCACGTGAAGCAGAAGACATGTTCATAAGTGGCGAGCTAGTGTACTGTACACAGCTCAATCAACCGAGATCTGCGTATATACATATGTAACACTACAGTTTTCAATCCAAGTACGTAGGGCTATTCATGCTGTTGTTTTTTCCAGACTAGCACCTCGCCTAGTCTACCACTAGTACTCCCTCTATATCCTCCTGCCCCTAACAAGTATCTTCCAATTGTAGACATGACCTTGAACAACCTAGAACTGGAAGCTAGTCGGGAGCCTAAAGCTTGAACAACCGGCTTCCTTCCGTATACCTCTCATGGAGCGGATACATCTCTTCCTTACTGACTAAGATGAGTAGTACAAGACTTGTGGACTAGATCCACCTACTAGTTTCCAAGCAGCCAATCAAAGAAAGCATGACTTATGTCTAACGATCATGATGTACTTTGAACTGACCTGTTGGGTTATACTAAATGTGGTATAATGACTAGTTCTGCACGAACAACTCGCTATGAACCTGCCCTTCACTTGAACTGATTCCTACTGGTACTATGGACTCTATCTTCCAATCTGTTTTTTTTCTTTCCCTTCAGATTTTAAACCCACCTCAATATCTACAGGCGCCGAGATGTAATGATCACATGCATGATCTCATCATCTCCGAATGCACACTCTGGGGCACTTGATCTTTTGATTTGAGCACTCCCCAGAGTCAAAGTCTAACTACGGAATAGATAAATTACACGCGAGTACAATGCAAGCTAATGAACGCATGGAGTCTTCTCACAGTTGTGATCTCGGCAGTGTGGAGGCTTTTCCGCACTTTAGAAGATGGATAAGCTGCTCCTGGTGTGTTTCAGAGTTTCACCACGGGGGTTATCCATCTCAGTGACTCGTGATCTCACGTCTATATCGTACTGGGAAACATAACTGTAATGCTTCTCTTCGTGTAGTGGAGGCTCGTTAAGGAATGCAAAGTTGCTCCTTCTCCACCTGCCACAAAAGACATGAGATATATGGATTACATCAAAGCTGAATTGCTCGCAACAGCCATCTCGACAAGAGAAAAAAGATGGACCTTGAGTATATGTCAGGTATGAAAATAAACTGCAGGAACGTGAATTGATAATCTCCAGCAGGTAGCAAACATTGAGTTCTTGAGTCTAGCTCACCAGCACTTTTTGGTATCTTCATCTCCTCGCTCATTTGCGGTGGGCGTAGTTGGCTGACTCCCAGACAAGCTTCCACCATCTGAGTTCATGTCGGCAAAGGCATCCTCAGCCTCCTCTGACAAGGTCTGCGTACACACAAATAAAAGATCGAAGTTAGAGCTGGAACACGTTCGGGAAGTCTTGAGAGTTTTCTATGATGATGACTCCGAAGGTCAATGTCAGAAATCATACAATTTCAATGGGCCCACTCCCGCTGAAACAACCGTCTTCTGTAAGATGCAAGATGATGCAAGATCTGCAATCAGTTGGTATCCGAAATGTCTACGTTCACACAAGTGTGTGCATTATACTTACAGTATCAATCATATATGAGCGAGATCTGGCAAGCGCAGCGGCCCTGTGAGCCTCTTCCAGATGCTCCCTGCTTTGGGTTCGCTTTGACCGCCAGTATCGCTTAACTTCATCCCTTGTCAAGGATGACGTTGTTCGCTTGAATACTGCTTACAGAACACGGACAATTTGTTAGCATATTTTGGTGAGGGAGAAACCAGAAATCTTCAAATTTTCTCAACTCACTGCCATCCTGGACCATCTGCATATTCCTTCAAGCATGCTGAGATTTCCTGCCAAATCCAAGTGTACTGCTGCTCAGTCGAGCTGAGATGGGCACTACTCCACGATCATGCCACATCGTAGCAGTTTCATGTGAGAAGCCCAATAAGTCTGTTGACTTTTCTAAGAGAGCCCTGGATTTGTAGCTGCTTGTGAGGAAATTTGAAATGCGAGCAACAGATCCGCAATGATTGGGCTCTAGAAACTTGTGACAATGATGAGAAGCGTTGTTGCTCAGAAAAGAGCAGCTAACTAACCCTTCTTTGCGCATGGAGGGGTTGTCGACCATCCAGCCATCAATGAACCCATATTTAGTACAGGTCTTCGTCGACGTCGCTGTCAAACTAAACCCTTGAAATATCTTCAGATTCGCCGCTGGTTGCTGCCAAAACTTGTGAATGTCGCCCGTCAGTGCGGCGAATTCAGCAGAAGCGGACAATGCCAACTCGCTGCTTAAACAACGAACGTTCACAGCTAGCTCCTGCAGCCTCGTGGAAACCTCGATGGGAAGAAGCCCGCAGATTAGATAAGAAGGAAAAAATACAAAAAACTTTTTCGAAAGTCCTCCAGATCACTCCCTACTCTCTCCTTTGAACTCAAGCAATGCAAGGCACCAGTGTGCACGAAGAGCCAATTCTTTCGACGAATTATTTAGGTCCACCAAATGTAACACTCATAAACCTCTCTCAAAGTTCTGCTTCTCCAAGTGCTCAGCTCTCTCCCACACTCTTCAATCCGATTGAGTTGATTTGAGCTTCGGGATCAGTGATCTTATACTCTGCACCATCGCACAAATTCTCGAATGTTTGAAACAGTTGAAGGAATAAGTAATTTCACCATAAGGAGCTCAAATCCAAAGCCTCAGAGGGAAAGAGCACTGTGGCTGAGAAAACTGTGCTGTGCAGACCAGGTAGAACCTCATCTTACGAAGGTAGCATCTGTCCAGGCCAAAAGCAAGGGAGGCATGCGCGATTCCCCCATACTCTGGGAAGGAGACGAACAGTCTGTCTTCGGACCCGCCTGTTCTCCTGGCATTTGACGTGGCTGGTTCAGCTGATCCCCTGCTGCTGCCTTGCTTCCCCATGAGGCAGCGACATGACATCGTGTCTACGTTTTTGGAGGTATTCTGTTGTCATCTTCACTTATGTCGTGCTCACATCTAGTCACGTCACGCATCTCGTCAGCTCAGGGACAGAGATAGTTCTCTTTTCACGCTAGAGGATTCCAACGATGACTTCACTTTTAGAGTGGCCATGTGAGGGAATCTCGAAACAATTTCTGCTACTTGAGTTTCGACTGATGAGCAAATTGTGAATTTAGTAAATATAAATTAAATATCACTTGATTAGATGTATCTAATTATGAAGAAATTTTGATAGAGAAGCCTAATGCATTGCAGGAGAATATCGTTCAATGGGGGTTTATCTGATGAATATGGTGCGTGTTCCACTTTTGACGATCAGAGTTGCCAAAGTCTTCGGATGAACTAGTGCCAGGTCTGAAGTCGACAGTAAGGTGGGTGCAGGTTCATCTTAAAACTTCAGTACAAAGGCACGCTGTTAATTTCGCTTGTCCGATGCTGACGGTTTCTGATAAGCACACAGCGTGACGAGAAATGAACATAGTGAAGATTTACTCAGTAGATGGTGCCTGTGAACTACAGCTAGTCTGTTTCTGCACGATGCACAACATATCAAGTAAGTCTAACGTGTTTATCACACTAAACATGAGACCTCGATTACCAGAGCAGGTTCGGGAGTCGTCATGGATCGAGAGTGGCCCAGAGGAGCTGCCCATCCGACACGTACTACTTCCACGGCTGACTGTCCATGGCTGACGTCAGTGAATGCACATCAGCATTTTCGTGGGTCCACTTCATGGCAAGAAAACATAACCATGTTCAATTATGTTTCGTTGTATGTAATCGTCTCATCACTGTTAAATTCAGTCTGATGGATATTTACAATGTAGCAATTCAGGTACTCCTCGTATCCTTGCGTGACTGCCATAAGCATGGATTGTAGTGAGTAACCGAGATTAGGTTCTTCCAGCCTCATCTCACTAAATATAGCATCCTGATAACAAGCTGATACTGCAACCTCAGATGAGACCACCCGACGTACACTATGCAGGCACTCGACAGGGTTGAAGTTTCAGATCGATTTGGGCGGCTGACACCATTCACAGGATTCATACGTAATCGACGAGTTCAGCTCGTTGAACTATTACAACACGGTGTATGGGTATATTCGTCCAAGATCCACGGCTGAACACTTCAGTCTGCCGCTATTGAAAGCTCTCGGCATGAAATAGTACACTTCATAATAGGACGCCGATGTAGGGAACGAATCGTTGTAAGAAACCGAACCAAATCAAAAGAGTCTGCTTCAGATCTGTTCGTGAAACGTCTATCAGAAAGAATGCTGAGGCGGCGGCAGCAGCAGTAGCAGCATGCTCGAAGCCTCAGGGCCTCCTGGATGTAACGTTGATGACCACTTTCTGAGCAGACCTCGTTCACATCTGCCGCTCCAGGTCGAGATGGTGGACGTTGAGAAGAGGACGGCGTCGAATCTACGTTTTACGATCTACGTACGAATGAGACGGAGGACATAGTGACCTGTAAAGCTGCTCGACTGTCGTCCATTCAGCTACCCGAGCTATGTGGACGATGTACTACCTTGATGGAACTTGCTGGGCATCATCTTCAATGGAATCCATTAAATGGTTTCAGCAGTACAATTAATCAGAAGCCCATGACCTCGGGGTCCATCGTCGTCAAGAAATTTGATGACTCATTATGTAGGGTAAATTAAGATGGAAGTTGGGATGACGTTAATAGACACCGACTTGCTATTTGTTTTTGATGTGGAGGGCCGCGCGAACGCGAGCCCTCCTCTGCCACAAATTATGACGTGTACTTTCCCCTTGGGGAAGTGCTAGGAATTGCCGGGCCGAAGTGCAATGGCCCAGCTCATCTTAGGTCATCGCCCTTCCGGATCAGCGATAGGCCCCGCCCAGGTAAGTATGCATGTACAAATTTGAACAAGGAATATGTTAGGAGGTTGTGATTGCTTTGCTTCCTACATTTATTGTTTTATCATGAGGTTTCATTGTTTCAGGATTTTGTATCCTCTTGATAGCGGAAAACTATTTGTTGGGTGACAGGTGAGATGGAGGAGAAGGAGGTGCGCCTTTTTGTTCATGAACCATCGGTGTATCAATGCAAAGGAACCGGCGAAGTTGAAACCATGAAACAGGTAAACACGAAGAAACCATGATATTTATGATCCCAGCATAGATCCAGTTCTAGCATTCATCGTTATTGATGTAGTTACACCAATATTGACGTCATGCAGCTCGAGATTCTATAGAAGATTCTCGAGATGTTTATAGAAGCAAATTAAACAAGACCTTTACACCAAGAAGGCAACAGTTGCATCAAACCGATCAGCTGAGCATTGTTGTGAACGCAGATCCAGGCGCCCCTCGCGATCAGGAGTCCGAAACTCCGAGGAAATGTCTTCACCTTCTGCACTGAACATCGCACAACTGTTCCAGCTTCTATCGTGCACCCTGATCGTTCGCAAGTCGAAGGATCTGCAGAATACCGTATACGGATTCTTCCATCGGATAGCCAGTGCCAAACGGACCAGCTTTGACGTTCAAACGAGGGGACCGTTCTCTTCATTTCACTGAAGTGGTGGCTCAAGTCTGACTTCGTCAGATCCGATGGCTTGCTGTCGGTTTAGATTGTCAAACGTCTCGGTCCAACATCCAAATTTGCGCCTGCACGTTGTAAGGATCCCCGCCCTTCAGAGAAATGGGCAGCAGAGAATTCCAGAAATGATAATGGATCGAACGAATCACCCGTCTGGTCAGATCGCGAGATTGAGCAGCAGTAGCGACTCCAGGCCATCGAGATTGAGCAGCAGTAGCGACTCCAGGCCATCGAGTCTCGATCGATTTATCTACTCAGGATGAGACAAGCCTGATTTGGTTCGTGTACGATGCGTGAGGCAAAGGCAAGGATCGCCATGGGTCCTGGAGAAATGCCCAAAAGGTTCTGATTTCCCCAGACCTTATTCTCATTCCCTAGCGCTCTCTCGAGGAATGTCACTTCGACGGCATGTGCACATTAGACAAGATATATTGTGCTTATGTCTGTGGCAGACCAAAAGCGTATCATGAAACAAAATGTTCTGAACTCGCTCGTCTGCAGTTAACCAGGTAACAGGTAACAGCAGCCAGGAATTGCGGTTTGACATTACATCGGTCTTGATGACGATGTATTTTCATCTTCGGTGGACGATTACAACGATGATTCTGGTTTTTCTTGCTGACGCGTACGCACCTCTGGATCCCGTTCAGTTTTACAAAAAGGAATGCCCCAGAGCCAGACGCATTGTAGGAGACATGGTGCTGGAAGCCATCAGGAGAGACATAAGACTCTCAGCTGCGCTCCTCCGATTGCAATTCCACGACTGCTTTGTCAGAGTGAGTTTACCCAGCTACATCTAACACAAGCATTCGATTCGAGAGTTTCAGATTCGTCTAGACTTCTCTTTTCGACGATTGGTCGCTATGAATACTACAACATTCGTTATTCATCTACCTAGCATATTATGTAAACTATAACTCCATTGCAGACTGATGTATGAAGTCACATTGGGAAGCAGTTCAGTGGAATGAGCTAATGTCCCGAACAATTGATAGAGGGAGAGAGAGAAGAAATGAATGAGTGTCAATTAATAAGTTTGAACGATGCAGCTAAATCAGTATATTGCTGGCAGGGCTGTGATGCTTCAATCCTGCTGGACTCGAACTCGACGAATCTAGCTGAGAAGGATGGTGCTGGGAATGTGTTCTCGGTCAGAGGCTATGAAGTGATTGATAACATAAAGGAAGCTCTGGAAGCGGTCTGTCCACAAACAGTGTCTTGTGCTGATATAATCATTCTTGCTTCGAGGGATGCCATTGCTTCGGTTTGTCTCTATATGTAACCTACTCATTTCTCTCACTGATTTTAAGCAATGAACTTCGTTTTGATCTCATTTGGACATTCCTTTTAGGACCAGCGAAGTTGACACGTTTCCTTGCATTGAGCTAGTCTGAGATAATCATTCCTATTATTTCAATGCTAGCCAGATGTTTACCAGATCTTACCTACTGATGCTGGACTTTGACTGGTCCGGTCGTAGATCGGAGGTCCTTCATGGTCGGTAACCTCAGGTCGATTTGATGCCATCGCCTCGTATGCCGAAGACAATCTAAGGTTTTTGCCTCCTCCTAGTGCCAACTTCTCCCTTCTGTCTCAAATGTTTGCCCAGAAAGGCTTCTCTGAACGAGAAATGGTCGTCCTTTCAGGTAAGAAATCTATACACGGGACTCTTTTGAAATGAATTGTAAATTTCCAAGCTTCATAAAATTATATTGCCAGAATATCTTTTACCTGCATAACTCAGTCCATAACCATAAACATAGTTACGGAAAGCTGTTCATTGAGCACTATATTTGGAGGTACATTAATCTCTACATTAGATAGAAACATGTAAAATTAGTCTTATGAATCAGATGAAGGGAATATGAAGAACATTTTGAACTCCATTTGCCTTCCACAGGTGCCCACACAATCGGGATCACGCATTGCGGATTGATACAAAATCGCCTCTATAATGGCACCGGTCGGAATAATATTGACCCGACACTCGATCCTGCATATGCAGTGGAATTGAGGAGGCAGTGCGCATTCGGAAATGTTTCAAAGCCTCTGCTTTTGAATCCAACAAGTGGTGGCTACTCTTTTGACAGCAGTTACTACACCAATCTCTTACGGAACAGGGGGATCCTCGAGTCCGATGCTACATTGATAACCGAGGCAAGTGGGCGAGAATTCGCTCTAGAAGCAGCTTTCTCTCCTTCTACGTTCTTCTCTGAATTCGCCTCGGGAATGGAAAAATTGAGCAATCTCGAGGTCAAAAACGCGACAGAGGGAGAAATCAGAAGAAGTTGTAGATTCACAAATTAACAGATCATCTGCCACCTGTACTCAGTCAATTATTCAGTGAGGTTCGGATTTTAGAAGTAGAGTTTCTTTCCATATCAAAAGAATCAGATTCTAGTCATAGCTGGAAACTGAAGAGTCTCGATGTTGTAAACTCACCTCCACCTGCCTGGATAGCAGAATTTTCATTCTCAAGTCATTTCCTGAATCTTAAATCTTGAATCTCGAAGATAAATTGCGCTGCTTACGTGTTTGTATTTATACAAACCCGTTTAATCACCTGACTCAATCCTAAAGGAATGCATCGAATTGATGATTTGTCTTCACGCTCTGCTTTAACAAGGCACTGATAGAAATAATCTTGATGTGCGGTTTGTCAGTGTTGAAGTGGCTATCTTCTTACATATGATGAGTTCAGGTCAGATCCAAGGTTTCCTACTTCATTGTGTTGAGAAACAAGCAGACAATATTTACTGTTTACATCTTAATATTTCCGTTTTATTCATCATGTTCGAGACTAAAAAGTGAACTTCTTTCACGGAAGACAAATTTTTTTTTCAGAATTTAAGTTAGGCTCTGAACTAATTTCACATTCCTCTGAGGGTACCTTGAATAGATACATTTGCAGGTCCTTGAGGCTTATAACAATATTCTATCCTCTGCGTTGCATGCTTGTCTATTGGAATTTTCTCTGTCAAAAGAATTATGATAGATGATTTAGAACAACAGGTCCTGCCAAGGCCAAGTTGTAGAAGGTCCCGTGGAAGACTACGGGACCTTGAGCACATTTTGTAGAATTTGGGAAGAATGATACTCTGCCCATTTACTATAAACTATGTCCAGCTCTTGAGGATGTCACCGGACTTTTATTTACCCCCTAGCATGATGAAGATAATGGATGCCTCCATCGTAAGTCTTCATGTTGAACAGTACTCTGACATCTAAACATGAATCGCGGAAAGCTTGAGAGAAGAGTTCTTTCACCTGCTACGCCATTGTCAGAGTCTATCATTGTTCTAGTCGATACATATTTGACCAGGAATAACGATTTTCAATAGAATTTGCTATTTGCAGAACAGGTTATTTTCACCATTTTTCACTGTATACACCATATTAAGATATAATGAGTCAGAGTATTCACGTTAAAGCATGTATCAGCTATTGATGTTAAGATTAATTTCTGTCAGCTCAGGCTCAGGGAAATGAATGAGAGCCGCACGTCAATGACTTCCCATATTCAACACAGGTGATACTTGAAAAGCACCACTTGATCGGAATTTAGATTTGTTTCATATTGATTGACTTGACAACCTGGGGCCTGATGTGTAGCTTCTCACAACCACGTTGAAATCCATCAGAGTTCCACTGAACACCATGGTGGGAATTCTCTTTCCCATATTCCAGAAGTGAATTCCAACTTTTGTTCAAATGACTCCTGGACCACCTCAGTGCGAATGGCAAATGCTAATGGCAGCGACCATGGAGATGCTCTTTGATTTCGACGTGTCTCTTGGCTATTGAACAAGACTGCGAGAGAAAAATGGCGGCAGACGTCGATCCTTCTCATATGTTATTGTAAGACGAATGCCGAACGAGGCACATGTCATATAACATCATCATCCAAAATACATCGGTAACTAATACCGTTCAAAATTCTGTGAGCGAGACTGATTTTCGAAAATTGTGACGATTGCCCATCTCTAAAGCCTTACGTTCAGGTGGGGCTTCCCTTTGCGATCAGAACATAATAAAGCTGTTACAAGCCTACAACACGAATGTTGGTAAGAGGTGACATGTACGTTCACAACGATCACACTGATTTTGCAAGCCTTCATGTGATTTGCTCATCCTCACGTCGATGAGAACGGGCATTTTGAACTCATATGATGGATTCGGACTCAGATCTCTATTTAACCTGCTGTTCTCTTACTTCCAATAATTTTAACTGATGAAAGTTGTTGTACTATCTCGCGCAATATGAAGCTCTCACACGCACGCCTCGCTATCCTGTTCCTCGCTTTCCTGTTCATATCGATAGCTTTGATAATGTTCACTGTTGTTGTAAGTCGGTATCCGAATTTCAACAGTGGAATTGCTCCACGTACCGGGTCCAGGAAAGTTTTTGAACCATGTTCCTTCCCACGTAAAGTTCTCTGTGAGAAGAAACCGGTGAAAATTCCTACACCTTCTACGGTAAGAATCTAATCGGGTCTGACGAGAATTTACTTTTCAGTTCGGTTGAAATTTCTCCTTTCTTCTTCGCTAAATTTGATCTATGTTTTTTACAGTATCACACTCACACAGTTTCCGGATCACCAACTCCGGAACCAGCTTGCACAAGGAAGCTCCTGTGCAAAACCACGGGCAGAACACCGTCTCCAGAACAAACTCTGCCGAATTTGGGAAGAAAGATACTCAGTCTTCGTCCTAGAGGCGACGGTCAGATGATGGAGATAATCCCTTTCCTCCGTCGTCAGTTCCGCAAGTATATGGTGAGTCTTGTGGCTCAACAGGATCCTCCGACTCTGGAGGACCTCTCTCGCCGTGGAAGATTTCAGTTTATACCCGGGACCCTGCAGATCATGGGTATGCTGTACCGACTCTTCCGCCTGTGGGAAGCTAACTCGGAGGCGACTAGCGACGAGAAGGGGAGAAGACACGTCATGTATCGACTGATGGTAACTGCCTGTAGCAAGTCGCATCTGAGACTCTCGTCTGTGTTGGTTCGTACCCGGTCAGTCGGTCTCTTGTACAGTCCTGATCCTTTTCTTTGCTTGTGATATCGCAGTCAGATATGGCTTCCTTCGTTGCAGAACAAGTCAAAGGTGTTGTTGAATACTTTTCAGACTTCCGAGTCGATCCTCCGGAGGAACTTTCTCTGACCGTGCGACCAAATCTTGTCCATGAACTCTTGCAAGCGTACGTTCCATCAGCAATAGCATTTTTTTATGTGTATTTACTTCACTGAACTTTATTCAACATTTATCTATATTTCGTTTCTCAATCAAACTTGTGCGACGCAGATCTCGGGGTATGATTTTCAGCACTGATGGACCTCCCCGTGCTCTTCACTTTTATTATCACACTGCACTCAGCTGTAAGTCATTCTGGAACTACAGTATCCGAGGTTTTAGAAGTGATTTAGATGCAGTGATTAAGATGGTCTGCTCTCCTGTGAGCGAGTATGACATCATAAAGCAACGATGCCCTTTAGCAATTGTTCTACATGAACTCCGAGACCCATGATTTTTTAATGTTAGTGCAGTGATATCAACAAACTTGGAGGCAGGTGGTTTTGCGAGTCAACCTTTCCGGTGCGTATACATTGGAATATTTTCATCAATGTCGATGGCGGAAATTCCAGGTTCCTTGGGACCACATCGGAAGAATTTACTCGAATGGATTTCGTCTCCTGAAGGATGTATCATCCACCCTTCTGGGTTCATGGTGAGGCATAATCTAACCACGTTCTTGTATTCCTCAATCCAGTACTTAACCCATTTCTGGGGAAGGTTGCGATTTGCTAAAAGTAAAAAATGTTTTCATCCTATTTCCAGAACTCTTAGTAGTAATTACAATTCAGTGCATCGGAATTGGTGTAACAAGTAGATGAAATTCAATAGTGTCAAATATACTGAGTGAACTTATTATTGAAAATATGCAGATGACTACCTATGCGTGGTGGCTTGGTGAATGCACACATGGTGTTGGTGGTGGTGTTGTGACAGTCGTTCGCACTGCAGTACAAATCACCCAGACCACCAACGTTGTAGTGAAGGAGGTGACCATCCAAAATGCTTCGCAAGAACTTTTGATTTTTGAGACCTGTTTAATAGTGCTCGTGAAAGAATTGAAGGTGACAGCTCCAGAAGATAGCCCCAAGACAGATGATATAAGCTTGGCCAATACTCAGAAGGCCACTGTCGAGTATTCCGTTCTGTCGTTCACACTACTCGTGAAGTGTTACAACTTGGCCTCCGTAGAGTTCGAATCTCCGAGTGCGACAGCTTGTGGTCATGTGCGACTGATTCTGGAGACCGTAGGAGCCATTCTCCGATTTCGTCCAGACTTGGAGATACTAGGGACCGAGGTGTTCGATCGTATCGAAAACCAGGTTCATGTCCGAATTATAGAAGAATCTTGATGATGCTGAGATGAGACAAGTTGCCCACCTTGGAGTCTAGGTATGGTGCACTTTTTGCACTGGTATTTACCGTTTGGGTCAGGGTCTAGTACTTGAAACCAACGTGAAAACTTCCCTATATTCTTGTGCCTCCTTAGACAATGTTCTCTGCTTACCAAACCCCAGTCTTTCTTTCTGTTGGATGATCCTGGCAAAGGATTATGGACCCATGTACAGGTGCATCGATGTTTTCATTGTGTGCTCCTGCAGAAGTTGCTGCGGGGATTCAGTCCCGCATAGTTTTGTAAACATTTGACAATAATAAAGCTTTCTCCACTCATTTTTTTTGTCAAAACAAAACCCAGATGAAACATGTGGGTTTTGTTTGGGAATGGACAAATCTAGATTTGTCCATTCCGAGAAATTTGAATTGGAACCGACTTTGATGGTGTTGTTTATTGAGCACTGGCGTGCTTTTAAGTATGGAGCGAGGTGAAGATGACGATCAGTGGTTTCTGACCCAAGAGCAAAGTTCCCTGGATCTCAGTTGAAATAACGTTCAAGTGGCAACAAAATGAATTGAATTGAATTAAATATGAAGCCTCTAAAGTTTGATTTTTGCTAGGCTTGGCCACGATCCTGTCCGGATCGGCGGTTAACCTTCGGTCTCGTTTACCCGGTCCACTGTTCTTCTGAACCAGTTAACCAGACCGTGGCCAAGCCTGAATTTTGCAATACAATCTTTTTATTAGTCGTCACTGAATGATTAACATGATTCAAGTAGGTTTTTAGAAAACGGAAAATGGATATTTTAAAAATAGCTGCCTAAGTAATAAACCTAATACTTAAAAGTATTCTTTTGTTACAGTTCATATATCTCAACCTTATATTAGAAAAATGTTACTCCAAATTTAGTATCAAAACTTCTTCTTTGTTGTACAATTGGTGTAATTATTAGCACAGACTAACAGTTACATGTCGTCTACAGTCTATATGTTGGAAAAAATATAGTAGAATCTAAAAAAATCTCGTAAGTAGATTTTATTTATTTATTTCCGTAAACATGATCATTGAATGAGAAAATCAGATTCAATCATTCCACAATTTGATTATTTCAAACATTATAATTCATATTTCTTAGTCTTGTTTCCTAAATATAAGAATCTTATTTACCTCAAAAGAGCTTTTATTTAAATGAGGGATGCGCGAGCAAACATTTGATTCAATGGTGTCAACAAGGTCCTAACATTCCAATACCTTTTCATCTTAATTTAGTGGCACATGGACTGGAATAATCCATGATATAACAACAAGAGACTACATATGTTCTCCAGAACTATTTCGATCAGTATCCCTATACTTTTCAAATTTCATCCCAATATGCTCACACACTTCTAGGGTTCAAATAGACAGAAGGATGCTTTTAGTAATATAGCAGATTTAATTAAAATTATTTGAGAAATCTTACTATCACCTGTTCTTGTTGTACTCTAAAACTGACTGGGCGTACCTCATTCTTACCAAGAGTCTTGAACATTTGTTTAGATCTTGTTGATACAAACTTCCAATCTATCGCTAAAACATCTTCCGCTCAAGTTCATTGAAAGCCAAAGGATGAGCCGTTCAGAGAACTCTCGAAGTAAATTCAGTATCTAGTTGCCAACAACTATAAGAAGGCCAGATAGGGCCAGAGTCACTCTTGATTTCCTGATCTAGATTCCTACGACTGATCATCTCTGCTGTAACAATTTCGTTTTTTTCTTGATCCTGGTGCCTCCAAGATTGGCAAATCTGAGTACCACCTTGACAGTGGATATGTCACACACCAGTATGGACATTGCTTAATACCGGACGGTCATCGCCTGCAAACCAACTCCAGATAAACGTCCAACCCTTAATGCTCGAGGGTCGGCCACAAGAATGTGAAGGTGAAAGAGTACAGAGTCAGCTGCATTCGGATATCCTGATGGAATGTACACCCTCCTCATATTTGCCTCTACCTCACAATGAAGTATATACAAATCTTCGTGTACCCTCTATGCTGTATTCTTCGATAAATTGGTCCAAGACGCCACAATCGTGATAGCTGGAAATGGGATGCAACTAATGTTAGGAGAGCGTGGATTGGTCTGACTCCATCACTACAGACACAGTGGAGCATGAAGAATGAAAGTTGGTCGTGTAATGGGGCGTGCATGCACACGTTGATGACGTCTACAAACAGATGATGTTTGAGAGCATCAACGCTGTGATTGTCAGATGACTGGGTCTCCTCTCTTTATCCGTTTTCGACTGCAAGTTTATGTTTAAGCTGAAGAATGATTTTCCTGCCAGAGATTTTAAGGTCGCCATGCACTTCTTTTATTATAAAGAAGTTTTTATAATTCGCATCATCAAAATATGAGATGGCGATTATTTCAATCTTATAGACTCAAGGAAGGGGTGATCTGTGAAGTGGTAGGTTGCCGTTGCTGATAAGGTGTATGCAATAAGCCTAGCCTTGGCTGAAAAGAATGCTCCATCTAACAACAGAGACGCATCACAAGTCAACATTTGTGCAGCAAATGGTAATCAGCTTCAAGTTGAGAAAGTAATATCGTAGAGTATGATTTGCAGATACCAAATGCCATGTATTGTGCTGATAATATCCCGACCAAGCATAAATGTGGTAGTGACTCGAGTTCGAGCCGCTTCTCGAAAACTCCAAGTGGGGATGGGTAATTTTTCCTGATGGATAGGGAAGATGGATTCTGGAAACATTGTCCTCGGCCAAGTGTGCAGTGCCATGGAGAATCTCGCTTTCTCCTTGCCCGCACGCTTCCAATGATGAGGAGAGTTCGGTCCAAGCTGAAAATAAGACCTCTCTCTTCACCGTTGTCTTCCTCACTAGCATCTTCGATCTTCGACATGGCCTTTTTTTTGTCTAAGACCTAGCTATTAACCTCTGCGAGTAATTACTTTCGCTGGTAGTCCGGGTCCTGTTTTGGGTCGCATGGCCTTTGACGATGCATGCAGCTTTGGAGAGACTTGAGACACAAAACAGAACTGCTCAAAGTGCTGCGCAGACGTCATGTGCATGCATCTGGTGCAGTTCTATTCATCAACTTCGGCCCAGGTTTGTTGCCAGCGATCGTCCGATGTGAGCAGCTTCCTGCGACCTCTCTCTGCCCTGTTTTTGCCCGGAGTCTATCGAGTTTACGATTAACTTGCAAGCTGTGGGTGAGTAAAGTTGATTTAGTGAGATATTGCTTTGCAAATTGCAGGAATTTATATGATGGCCTACCTAACCTTGAATTTCAAAGGCATCGAACTACTGTCTGAGCAATAACTTTTTCTTTTATTACAAATATTTCGGATTGCATTTCCATCTCGAAGACATCGTGGAAAAAGTCGATACAGACAAATAATATCTTTGCGTATCCAGAAGCCTTGATTAGGTATTAGTTTGTGTTGTATATAATCCACGGAAAGGCATTAGTTACATAGAAAGATGCAAAATCTATGAACGAATTCGCAGTGCATTTGATGAACAGATATCCTGAAATGGCCACATTGACCTACAAGACTTAATGAGAAACCATAAGGCACGCAAGGGATCATACAGAGACAATTTTATATGCTTTTGCGTGGACATTTAACATCTGCGCAGCGTAGCGACTGTCTGTAACCCGAGCGGGAGTAGGAGAGATGGGAGCTGGGGCTCTCGCTGAGGACCGCTGGGATCATGTCGAAGGCACGTCCACTCGAAGCGTGGAGTCTCTGATCTGGGCTCCTCCGCGGAAGCGAGGGGAGTCTGGGGAGATGATGCGGAAGGCACAGCGTGAGGCGGGCGACCGAGCAGCGATCACTTCCCGCTCTGCGCAGTCGAGGGACAGCGTGCTTGAATGCTTGTCAGCGATCATCCGACGTGAGCAGCGTTCTGCCACCTCTCTCTGTCCTTTTTTCCCATGGAGCCGATGTATTCGTTCAAAACTGCAAATCGTCTACGTGACTGTGATTTGATGAGTGGACTCTTTCTTCCAAGAAGAGAGTTTCGCTCGGGAGACGATATGGTGGAAGGAAGTGATTGCGTGAGTCAATTTGTTGACTGTCGACTGCAACCGAATATAGAATCAGAATTTCTCATTTTCAAATTCAACGACACAATACAAAGTGATGACAATGGGGGCATCGCCATATCGATAGCAGCCCAGTGGGAGAAAAGTTGCTTCAATGCTTTCTTAAGCATTTGCTTGTCACATCACCTCTCGGGCAATGAAAGTGGGATGCATTTAAGCCAAGTCCAGTCTGCTGGACTAATGTCAAAAATCTGATACTCAGAGCGACCAGAACATGATCTGCCTGATGCAGATATTGGGAAGGGTAGAGACTTATCTGGAGACCGTTATTACGTTCTTCGTCTTGGCTTTGTTTCCACTTGATTGTCTTGTAATCAAATGGAAGCAATCAATTATTCGGGGTTTAAGCAGGGTTTGGAGCCATTAGCCATATTAAAGGTAGTTACTCAGGTTCAAGTGTGGGACAAGAAATTTCTATAGATTGCCAGAACACAGTAACGCAAGTCAATTTACACTCATCGCCCCAACGATCATCTTCTTATATATGATCACAACTTTGATATCTGGATTGCGTAAGTGGAGGTATGCAATTCAAAGTCTATTCATATACAGAGTTGTGCTAAACTCGGGAATGGAAAGTGTTATCCAGAGTTTCAATTTTAGATTGTGATTTTAATTTTTGCTTTATGTGATTCCCTTGAGGGTAAATTTAAGCTAATATTATTATGCGTGAATCGTGACATAACAAACACAAACGAATTATTATGCACTAATGATGATAACTATTTAATATTTAGAAAATAATTGTTTATGATACGTTACAAACAATTTCTGTAAAGCAGTTCAAAATATCAATATTTTACTTTTTCACCACACTTTGAGTACATGCATCCGATCTCCATTTTCCCCAATTGAGATATACTATGATGCACCTCAAATCCCGCCAAGAAATTTAGAGAAGCTACTCTCTAATATTATCTAATTTAGACCATTGAATCTATTAATGTCGTGTACATGTTTGCATCAGCTCACAAGTAGAAATTATAGCTTGTAGTTGTTTTTTATAAAAAGGAAGAAGTTAAAGCACAAGGGTGTAAATCTACTTCAATTGATAGAGAAAAAATATCATGTCCTACACATAGTGTTAAGGCGTTTTGTTTAATATAACAATACCTTTAATACATTTAAAGCATGTTAGCACATATCCACATCCTTACATACTACCAACTATATGTTTATTTGCAATTTCAATTAAGATTCATAACAACGATGTAAAGAATGCCAAATCAATTAAAAATGATGCTCTTCATTGATTATAAATTTATTCATCACATGAGACTTATGTGTCAACTCTCCTCCCACATAATAGTATGAATTTAGTTTGATGATTTAGTAAATTATCCATGTTGTATTCATCAAATGTACTCAATTTAGATTGATGCAAAAAATATAGATAAATCAATGAACAATGTACGTAAAAAGACTAATAAGGTCATGATGTGTAACACAATCTTTTAAAATGTAATCTTTTGGTAGGATGATTCAAAATTCCTTTATCTAAGTGAAATTATTGAAAAGTGTGAGTGGTATGTTGATTGCAAATTATTTTATTTTATTTTACTTATGTTTGATATTAAACCTTTACATTTATCAAATATAAATAAAAATTACCAAGTATTATATGTTGACATCTTTGTTCTAACCATAGTATTACAATTGGTTATTCCAAAATCAAATCCTGTAAAATGTAATAATTAGGAAAAAAACATTATTATATATCATTATCTGGATAATGAAATATATAATTTGAGATGATCAAATAATTATACATGGCATTTCTATGAAAATAGTTGAAATTGATATATTCTTTGAAATCTAGCCTTGGATTGTACACATCCGTGTTAAATCCACATTCTCACATCAATATAACATGTGCAGAGAGTTATGTGTAGATATACAATCAGCCTTTGCTTGAATTGACGATAAAATATATAAAATGCTGCGGCCACTGCTCAGTCACAGTAGACTAAAAGAGGAGATTCACATTATTAAAGTGGTTTCTATTTTCGAAAATTGTAAAATGTAGTATACTAACTTTTGATTTTCATTCGAAAAAATATTCGAATTCCTTTCACCTTGGATTTCCTTTTACATTGGAATTCCGTCAGTAGGTTTTACCTATCACCTTGGTTTTATGTAAGTAAAACGAAATCCGGAGTTTCATCTCCGCAATTTCACGTACCCTTGAATTGACGACATATGCCTTTGCATAGGTATACAACTTGAAAGTAGCATTTCTCGTGTTCTTTGAAATCTCCTCTACATGAAATGATTCTTGTACTCTTATTGAGTGGTCAGTGTTGATAATTGTGATTTGAAAGGTTTTAGGATAATTTTAATCGTATTCTCTCCTATTCTTATTTATGTTTCAAGTTTGCACCCCTTGTATACTAACAAGTGTACTGTATCTGAATTTTTTTTCCTCCACTGCAGTCATTTTCAGGGCACTTATTGCAATTTACTGTGATAATTATCACTCTTTTTATTTTAAACACCATCAATTTACGTTCGTGTTTGCAGAGAACTTTTTCTTTTTCACCTTAGTTAAGGAAGCAAGTTACCACACTTTGTCTTTACTTTTCTCATGACTGTCTGTGCTAAATGAAATCTTATTTTGTGAGACACATAAAGTTTATTTGAAGGACTAACATACGTATTAGACTAACTGTTTCACTTGATGTTGTACAAACAAGCTTCATCGCATACGCCATCAATCCTTTCAGTTTAAAAGGGTTTCCATTCCTTAAAAAGCTCTTGATGCTTTTGTAGAAAAAATGTGTTATTCATCAATTTAACTTGATATGAACACTAGACTTGCATTTCAACATTTTGCCTCTCCAGCTCATTTGGATCACTTTTACTTTAACCCTCAAAATAGTTGAAGGTGTAACTTTCATGAAGATGCAATTGGGTTTTAAAAAATGCACATTGGATTTCTCTTCACATCACATGATCTCTTGCCACTTGACATGGAGGTGATACAAAATTTACTTATTGGAAAGTGAGTTGGGCAAAATTTCTAGCGCAAACATGAAGAAACAAATTCATTCATTTTTTATACTCTTGCATTACCTGCGAATCCTTGTCTAAGATATAATATGACATTACTAAGAACTTCAGCTGCGGTATGTAGTGTTAGGTGGACAAAACTCGGTACAGCTTTGGTGGAGGTGGACGTCATAATCGGGAGTCAGATGGGAGGGTCAGCGAAGAAGAGATGTGTGGATGATGACGGCGAGTCCGAATTGACTGACGTCATTCGCGCAGAATCCAGCTGGTTTTGCCCTACTTTCCCAAAAGACAGAGGCACCGGGGAACTTTCAGGTACACAGCTCCGGCAGGAGGAGTGGGTCCCAGTCTCCATGAGGTGGATGTGAGTGACTTTTTCCTCGGACTGGATCCGATGTACATCACACTTTTTTTTTCATTTTTATTACTATCGACATACTAACAATCTCTAATTGGTAAATTAGACATTTGTATTGATTCTTTTAAACAAATCGTATTTTAAATCTTATTTTATATGTAATGATACACAGTCTTAGAAAAGAGACGCTTTGAGTTATTAATTGCATTTAATGAAATATTTTTATATAGAATCATAGTAAGCAACGAAATATTGTTTCAGCACAAGGCTATGTTTGGTTATGTAATTTTGGAACTATTTTTGGTTCTTATGCCACTTTTTTAAAGTGTTATTATGGAATTTCTAATCCAGCAAAATCACTTCAGTAGAAAATGATGAAGTGATCTCCAATGCGAATCATCCATAGTCGATTTCAGCTAGTTTTTCCTGCGATTGTCGCCCCCAATGCACCATCTCTTCGTGCCTGATGCGTTCCACTTTTCTTACCACTAGTTTCTCCCTACTTCCCCACATTCGGGATAGAAGATTCGGATATTGATTCAACTCCTAGAGTTAGAAGGGAAAATAGCAACCATGGTATACCACCGCGCCTCTTGGATGTAAGGAGTACTCTGAAAATGGGTAGTGACCATCCTCAGTAGCGGCCAGTGATTACTCGGGATGAGGAGATATTTGCATCAACGTGCACAACACATTTTGACTGAAAAACTCGAAGCGCTTCGAATTCTCTGGTGCAGGTGGGTGGCGGTTAACTCCTCGTCTGCTTGCATTAATTGCCGTGTGCACTTTGGTTGCAAACGCTTCTTGATTACAACTACCGTCTAAATACATTGTGTCCTCCCCTTTGGTCTCTCTCTCTCTCATTCATTCACTCCCACTCATTTGACACACATCACGCACACAAAGAGGGGAAGAAAGAGGCCTCGTAGGGGCGGGATCGAGACGCGGTGATTTGATTTGAAAACAAATAATCAATGAAAAGACTTGAATCGGATATATATCTAGTACATGAATTGATTTGGAAACACATGAAGAAAATCATCATCATACAGGCCCCCTGTCCAACCCAAATGAAGTCCACCTACGACGTTTACTGAGGTAGACATGCCTCCAGGTGGTACTTAGAGTAGTAAAACCTGCATTCCAGGGAATAATTGTGAACTTTTCTGACGATAATGGGGCCATTAACTTGTAACTGCCACGGAGGACATTTCATGTCCTGGCATCGAGGGGGGGAGTCGGATCGCACGCCCGCCCGGCGGCTCGCGGACCACGGCGTGGAGATCTACATCGCCCGCATCATCATTGGCAACTCATACTCTGAATAAGGTTAGAAGAAGACTAGACCTAGACCCTTTCCTTGGGAGGCAAACAGGCTGTACTCGACGGCTGGTGCCGACATCTCCTTGCTGGCACCTGTCAGCTCGTCCGAAGGGCCGCCGCAGCGTCGAGCATCCGACAGGCCTTCGAGGCATGCGTCCGACACCGCCTTACTGTCCTTCATCGGAAGCACCAGAGGCGGCGAATCTATTTCTTTTGGCGCCACTGCCGTCGGGCCCCCGAAGTGGAACAGCGAGAAGCCCGACGTGTCGGAGGCCGAGGAGGAGGAAGCGGGCGGAGGGGAGTCTGCCGTCGTGCTGCTGCTGCTGCTGATGCCCTCTTTGGCAATGGTAGTCGAGTGGACAGCGGCAGATTCACCTGCTGCTGCTGCTTGTGGAGGCGGTGCGACAAGCCCACCGTCCAGACCGTGACCACCCTGGCCCTGGCCCTGCACAGACAACGACGTCGCTTCTGCGTGTTCCGAGGAAGCAGGAGCAGCTGCAGCAGCAGAGGCAGCGGCAGGAAGCGGAACTTGGCTGCCGGGAGCAACTCTGCCGTCCATGCCACCATTCGGACCAGTGCCAAATCTAGACAGAAAAATGGAATCTCGAAGCTGCAGAGTGTTGAGCCCATTGGGCAGAGTGGGCATGCGTCCGACCCCCATGCCTGGGGGCCCGGCCTGCGCTAAGGACATGGGTGGTAGACCCCCCATCGACATGCCGAGCCCATTGGGTGGGGGGATCATGAAGCCTCCAGGTTGAGGAAGCGGCAGCACACCATTTCTCGACCTGGATGCCCCCCACGAGCCTTGCTGTTGTTGTTGTTGTTGTTGATAGTAACCATAACTTTGTTGCGGATGTAGATGCATTGGTGCTGGTAGCATAGTTTGAACTGGTATCGGCCCAAACGAGCCTTGTGAGTGCAACATGTCTTTCGAAGGTATGACATTTGGACCGATTCGTGGGCCATTGCTCAGAGGCACGGCCTGAACAGGGACTGTGCCATGACTTGGGGCTCCCATGCCAGGCGTGGAAGGATTGACAGAGACCGCGACAGTTTCAGGATGTTGAAGTCCAGGACTATCCACGACTAGAGGTGTTACGACGGACTTTGCAGGCTCCATCACCAAACCACCGTTAGCTTGTGGGACACTTTTCACACTTCCGACTTTAGTCTGCTCTAGAAGCTCAATGGGTGGTTGTTCATTTGCCCTATGGATCACAGGTAAGTCTGCAGCTGGAACTCCTACTCCTTGTCCTGGAGGATCATTGCCCGCACTAGATTGAACCTTTGCCGTTAAATTACCATTGCTGGACACTCTGTTGACGCTGAGAAGTCCGGGGGTTGGCACACTATGCCCTCCGTACGCGGCCGCACTCCTCGTTGGTGCATGTCCCTGCTCAGTGGCAGCTCCGATCCGCGACACTTCGTTCGAAGCTGTAACAACAGGAGTTTTCCCGTGGAAAACAGGCTGTCTGACCCTCCCTGCTGTCCTCAAGGCGATGCCCTTGTTATTCGTCTGCGAGAAATTGCGCTCCACAAACGATGCACTCCTAGAAACGGTGCCTCCTAGAATGACTGGTGGAGCAGGAACCCAGGCAGACTTGCTCTGAGGACCATGATCTTGAACGGAGTGCACAAAACTTCCGTTCATTAACCCATGCGCCACATTCAACACACTGCCGCTCAGGTCCCCGGCAGATGCACTCCTTGTATGACCCTGCCTCGGTGTCTCCACAGCTTCTGATTCGGCTTTTTCTTGATCCCGTTCCCCTTTCCTCTTCGCTGTCGATATAGGAACAACCTTCCCCTTAACTCCGTCGCTTCTGTCATATGAGTAACCCAGCTCATAAGTCCCGTTCCTTGTCAAACACCTTATTCCTCCTTGATCTACCCTCTCCACCGTCTTGCTAGAAACAGAGTCCCGGCTTGCTATTCTAGTGATATTTCGCTGGCCTCCCTTCATACGCACACTCGTCTGAGGTCCGCCACATGCGCAATGCTGGTAGTCCTCCGGCCGATGCTGAGCTTGGCCATTAGCACGATGCCATCCATCCATACGTTTCGGCAGGGAATCTGCCTCTATTCTGTGACCATTACTTTTGGCGTTAACTAGTAGACCCATTGTCATCTTATCTTGGAGACTAGGATCCATGCTTGGTGCTGGTGCCACCCTGGCAGGGTTGCGCACAACCCCATTACTTTCGGGAATTCTCCTAGTCAGTCCATTCATGTTCCCGTCAGGAAGTTGTCGAATTTGTGACCTTCGTTTCGAAGACTTCGTCCGCTCCACAATGAAAGCTCCGTTCCCGTCTCTCATGCTCAATGTATCTTCAATATCGTGGGCACAAGACGAAGAATCGTGGCCGTTTCCAAGCCCACTGTCATATTCGAGACCTTCGGCTGACGGTCTTGCCTCTGCCATATCGGGAGAAGATGGTCTCGCAGATATGCTGTCCATGTCTCGTCCGGGGTTTCCATCCTCTTGGTCGCCTGAACCATCTTCCGGCTCCTCATTTCCAGCAGAGACACCACCCACACAACCATTGGGAGCAACCTTTGAAGTTTTGGTTTCAACCTTGCCTTTCTCCTTTTCGCGCTCTTTACCTTTTAATTTCTCCTTTCTTCTAAGTTTCTTCTCCTTCTCTTTCAATTTTCTCCTTTCCCTCCTTTCTTCCTCTTCGCGCTTCTCATCTTCTTCTTCTTCCAATAGCTTATTCTGCGTAAAGAAAAAAAGACTTGCACTGTCAATTCTGAGCTTGATCTAGCTACTTAACAAACACACCGTAACGATGAGTGTCTGATACGCAAGCGGGGCTGTTAAAACACTCGTAAATTCATCGAGCCAAGATTAGACTCACACTTTCCCGCGTCAACAGCGATATGATTAATTCGCAAGTTACGGACCACCGACGAGCCACAACAGTAAAATAATTTCAGAGTACTTCTTTCCATGACCTTCGAAATTGGACTTTGTCATTGGCAACCTTATCTTTCACTAGAACTACCTTAAGGGTAGCTCTAGTGAAGAACTTTCTAGTTCTTAGCGCCGCCGAGACAACCTTCGGATGCCACTGACAGTCCCGAGGTTGATGTGTGTACTATTAGAATAAATCCGGTTAAATAGCCACAATGGACAGCCAGATTGATACCTGTTTTTCCAGAGTGGTGATTTCTTTGCACGCTACTCGCACACGCTCCTCGAGCAAGCTCAGAGCAAGACATACGAAAATACTGTGTGCATTCTGCCTTGCAGTACCCTCTCTAAATGCTTTCTCCACCTGCCACACGATGCTCAAAACGATCAATACAAAAATAACAACAAAGATGAAGGTTGGTTAGATCACTTTACAAGACCGTAACAGATTCCGTTTCTCAGAAGGTATATATTCCGGGATAAATCCTCATGGACATCGGATACTTCGTTGGTACACAGGGATTTCATTGTTGCTATGCATTTGCAAAGCTCAAAAGTCACCCGTAGATGTCAGGAAAAGACATGCCCCGGACAATAGAACTAAATCTTTTTTGTCGTCACTTGTTGCGAAAGCATATCCACGTAACTGCATTGCAAGCGCAGCAATTAGTTTCAAAATTCTCACGACCTGGATCTTCTCCTACTTGTGACCTGTGACATACTGTCTTGTGGGAAATACATGCACATTCAAGATTTGACACAGATTGAAGTGCCCTCTGAAATCCAGTCATTGCCTGCCGGTGATACAGTGCAGCAAACAACCCCCAGTATCGAAATAGCATCTCGATTCTCGAAGCCATGTGGTCTTGCAGGTCAGCCGGAGAGACAGAGTAGCCGGAGTCATGAACCAATATCCACCGACTGTGGACATGAAGACGATGGACACTCTCCGCTATGATATCATCTAGACTTTGCCTGTTGCGTCTGAATGAATGCAATCACTTAAGAAACTTGGCAGTTGATTCTTTCATGACATGCATTAAATGCAGATCATAACAGTTTGACGGTTTACGTATAGGACAGCATTCATAACAGGTCCCTTCAAGGGTCGTCTAATGGAGCAGTCGGCTGCTGGTGGTTTTCGGAACCAAGCTCCAGGGAGAAGAGGATAGCAGTCGTGCAACAAAGATCGCTAGGAAGGTAGAAGAGAAAAAAAGGTTGAGACGCAAGACGTTGGAGACGGCTTCAACTTCGTCCAAACAAAAATTGACTAGAGATACAAATACTACAGCTGAAGGAGCTTCGAGCCCAGAAGGTACATCCTCCATGAAGCACGTTTCAAGAATATTTTTATCATTGATAACTACGCTTTCGTAAGACAGCTAAGTGCAACTGGATGAACCGTTCAAAGAGTGTGTAAAAAAAAGGTGTACGTTTATCACTACATAAAGGAAATCAATAACAATCTAAACACCCAGAATTCATTTGAGGCAAATGGAGCAAGACTTCACATTGAAATTAACTTAACTCTGGCATTCCCTCAGGAAACCAGTGAGGAGCTGTGATCATGAAAACCCAAACCCAAAACACACTGGGTTTGTCGAGGTCTCGGCGAACTTAGCAAGAACCCGAAGACATGTACTGAAGCGCCCGGCATATTAGGAAAGACGTGTTCAAAACAAGATTCTAGAAAACCTACGATAGAGTATGATTCTGAGTGGTCCGACACGTGTAATCCGAGAATAATCGGATACAGAGATAGAAGAGTTTCGATTTCTACTCCGCAAATCTACCATTTTCGTTAGAGGGTTTCAGTTCAGTCGAGGTGTTCAGAGAGCATCCATAGTCATGTAGATTCTTAGCAATCGTCCACAAATACTCGTACCTACATCAATTAATGAGAAACTCCGGTTGAGAACTATCGAGAAAACAGCATTAACTCCTATTCTGCAGGGGAAACCTAACAATTGTTACCGATACGGGAAGGTCTAGTCTTGGAACAAATTTTCACTTTGCCTTTGATCCATGCACTCACAATTTCTTGCTAACACAAGTAAACAGAAACAAGAGAGAAGCTGCACGCTGCACACTTAGAAAGGTCTACTAATTGACGACTGATCCAGTGCAGTGTTATATCTTGTAGTGTGCATTGATGTCGTGTCCCTGGGCAATCTGGACTCAGTTGTCAGTGATTTGTAAACAGTGTAGCTTAGAGGAACCAGCTAACAAGAAAAAAGATCGAAAGAACTTTAATCGCATAAAGACATGTTCAATGTCTCCTCTACAAGATATATACTCTAAGACCGTCTATTACGTGACTTGAGGTGGCCATGAAGGAGTGTGCAAACGTAGATCCTATAATCCAAATAGAAGAACGGGTATCATCTCGCTCCCGCTACCACCAAGATCTCATCAGCCCCGAAGGAGCTGTTTAAGGCAAGATATCACACCTTACGATTCTTCTTGCCCATCGTGCGAGGTTTGAGTCCACTTGAAGAGTACCCAATGTCTAGGATAAGCTTCGGAGTATAGACAGTGCGAGCACCATCAAAGAGCGAACATTGCAATCATAACGAGAGAAGAGACAGTGGTATTTATACTAAAAGCATTGTGAAAGCACCTGCAATAGGTGAAAGGTAAGCAGGACAAGCGTAACAAAGATGAACAATAATGCACGGGTCACAAGTAAAACATGGTCAATTGCAGGGGCTTATCATGCAATAAACCGTCTAGTACCAGCCCGCAAGGTGCAACGAAAGGGGCTCTGACAGACAGCCATACCTCACTAAAAATTATAAAGATTAAATCGACACCAAATGTGAAAAACTGAAACTTGGTTATATTGATACACTGACGCAGTAATTAAATAAAGGTGCTGATATGAAGCTCGGGGGGCCTGCGTAACTACCCACTTACTCATATGGTTGCGATACATCTTTACACTGTGTTCTATAAATGTACAGCATAATATAGAAAGACATTCCGCAACAAATAATGAAGTTCGACCCCCGTCTTGCTGCATTGGTATGGCATGAGCAAAAGGTTTAGTAGTTTCCTCTCTGCCAGGAAAGTGGACGACCTTGTCGACTTGGAGGGTTACGACTGCTGGCATGTCCCTAAGAACAGCTATGGATGAAGTACAGGACGGTACTAACACACAGGCTACGTGACTTAATCATCTCTTAGCGAACGCGTCACTCTCTTAACACAATTACACATAGATAATACACTTTTCCACATGATCTTTTCCACATTATGTATAGCATTACATAGAAAGACATTCCTCAACAAATAATTGAGTTCGACCCCCTTCTTGCTGCATTGGTATGGCATGAGCAAAGGGTTTAGTACTTTTCCCTCTGCCAGGAATTTGGACGACCTTGTCAACTTGGAGGGTTACGATTGCTGGCATGTCCCTAAGTACAGCTGTGGATGAAGTACAGGACGGTTATAACACACAGGCTACTTGACTTAATCATCTCTTAGCGAACGCGTCACTTTCTCTACACTATTCCGTATAGACAAGACACATTTCCACATGATCTTTTCCACATAGCATAACATAGAAAGGCATTCCAAATGATTGAGTTCGACCCCGTTCTTGCTGCATTGGTATAGTATGAGCAAAGGGTTTAGTACTTTTCCCCCTATCAGGCAAGTGGAAGACCTTGTCGACTTGGAGGGTTACGACTGCTGGCATGTCCCTATGACAGCTGTGGATGAAGTAAAGGACGGTAATAACACACAGGCTACGTGACTTAATCATCTCTTAGCGAAAGCGTCACTTTCTCTACACTATTACATGAGATAAGACACATTTCCACATGATCTTTTCCACATGATGTATAGCATAAAATAGAAAGGCATTCCGCAACAAATTAATCGACCCCTGCTGGCATGTCCTTCAGGACATGCGAGCAGGGTAGGTACAACACACAGGCTACGTGACTTAATCATCTCTTAGCGAAGGCGTCACTTTCTCTACACTATTACGTGTAGATAAGACAAAATATATATACTAATTCAGATTTGTATTTGTTCTGCACTGAGTAATTTTTTACCTATATTAACGCCTCCATTGCTACACTTTCTAGCGTGCACTATATACTTAGTGGCTATATGCCATTCCGACGGCCAGGATTGTAGGATCGGAAGCGAAAAGTTAAAAATTCTTCTAGAAAAAACCTATGGAACTTAGAAACAAATGAAGCATGAAAAGAAAAAATCATGATGAGAGGTCTTCACTCATCGTGTTCCTACCAACCATCATGATTTGTTGAAAATAAGAGCCACCACAAGAAATGATGTAACGTTTATATCTACCTTCCACAAGTATCACCTAATGAAGGTGACCCGATCATAGAGAACTGTCCCTCATGTAACATTTCTATATTGGTACGACCTAATTCGTTTCATGCTTGTAAATGTTCGACAACATCTACCGCATCTAATAATAATTCATTCGAAACACTTGTTACTAATCAATTACCAACCTTCAACCATACATAATCTTAAAATCACAACCCATTGATTGTCTCATCTTGCTCAATACAATAACAACAAGCTTACTTAACATCCCAACAGACAATACTATTGGAAAACGTAAGTAACAACATATTTGCAAGAGCCAAAGATGAAATATATAAACGACATGACGTGAAATATTGCGAAGGTGATAAGAGTTTTAAGTTACGGGGTAAACTGGGACTTTGGTGTGATTTGATGTATGAAGCTACCCTCTTGCAGATGTTTTCCCTTCGGCTTCGTGAAGTTGACATGGGTGGGATGGGGTAGTTGCTTTTGGGATGGGTGTGGTAATATATTTCAAATTACTAATAATATTATTCATTTATTATTATATTATATTATATTATTTATTTATTTATTTATACACAAGAGAAAGCCCAATTAGACACAGACTGTTTGTGTGGAACAAATGGAGAGGCATTATCTGTATCCTGCTAATTAACTAACATTATCACATAACAAATCAACCTGATGTAAAAATTCCTTGAAAATTACCTGCTCTTTAAAGATGACTGTGGCAGCGTCCAGAAGGAAATCTCGTGCAAGCTCGGGACTTTTGGCATGCTTCTGTGGTCGAGATCCTTCACCATCTAACTCATTGCCATCTTTGTCCATGGAATCATCGTCCTTCATATCAAGCGACTAAGGTTGAGCGAGTTGTATTCAAATGTGGTGAAGACGTTAGCTACACTCAATAAGGGGCAAAACATCTAACAATACCAAGCTTTCAATGTTCTATGTATGTAAGTCGAGTACTGTGGCGAGTTCAAGATTGGAAATTGCCGGGAGAATAAATTCGCTACATCCAACTTCCAATCATCTATTTCCACAAGGGCGCTGGAAATAGAGTGGCGACTTCCAGCTTGACATACGTCACATAAAAGGTCGAGTCTCATCGCTGGTGCGCTTGACGCAGAGGGTTCGGCGCCTGTCGGCGGGGCATCACAGGGGTTCAGAGCGTTTAAGGGCCTAAGTTCCACAACAAAGAGTCGGATGAATACAAAATTATGCATATATAAGTATACCTCTTCCTCCTCAGTCTCTTCAGCACGTTCAAAAAATCGTTGAATGCTCTCCCCTTTGGTGATCGAGACATAACCGTCACCGACAATCAGCCTACGATGAACACAGGATTGTCCTTTAAGAGCATGAGCTTTTGCAGACAGTTCACTACACCGCCCATCACGTTTCCAGCCTCTGATTGTGATGAAACAAGCTGCAGTGTTGCCTAGATCTAACCCTTCTACCTGGATACTCTCAGAGAGGCCTACGTCTTCAAATCCCAAGATATCTGCCTTCCCCTCAGAAGTGCCTAGGGCCCACTCAAAACGTTGGTAAACACTCCCAACCTCTCCTGCGAAGCAATCCCGCCAATCTACTTGCACCACACTGTCTGAAACCTGCCAAAAAGGTCGAAATAAAATCAGTCACTTTGGTGCTAAAACTAACAGACAAGAACCTTGGAATCACGTTCTTCGGTAGGCTTTGGAGGTACTTTAGAGAAGGTTGTGCCTAGAAACGGGAATACAGGATCAAGCACTCTAACTTCCCTACTCGACATAGAACTAGCCAGTAGAAAGAATGCACCTCATATCGGAAAGATGTGTCGGCTGCACAGAACCACCTTGTACACCGGGGCTCTTTCCGAGATCGCTTTAGCTCCTTCATCTCTTTGAACTCACGCAACACGTTTCGACGGCAATCTCTACAGAATCTCTTGCTGTCAAACCTGTAGCGAACACAGGCACTAGAACATGGATCAACGCTTTACGACTCCCTTCATGACCGCGTGGCAGGTTGTAAGCAATAAGTGATCCAAACAAAATATGACTTGACTGAACTAGTTGAAAGCCAATCGTTTGCTCAGTAAAGCAGGTACAAGGTTTGAAGCAGCTATGAAGTAATGGATCGAGAGATGCTGAAGGAAAATAAATGGGTCTCTTTGTTGGACTGAAAGTGGAGGGCCTAGATGCCGGTTACAAACTCACTATGCAGTCACATTGACAGCTGAATCAGACCACCAAAAAAAAAATCAAGAAAAGCAAGCACTACAGTCACCTCGATTTGAACAATAGGATCTGACACAAGCCCATGTAAGCATTTGACATGGCAGAGCTTACATCAATCCTCATTTTCGCTAAAGAATTTGGTAATATCCGTGCTAAACATTTTCGAGCATCTTTCTAAACAAGCTCAAGCTTATAGACAAATGTCACTTTCATTAAGAAGAGCACCAGGAAGGGAAGCTTATCCTGGAGATGTTTTCTGCTTACATTTCCGTCTTTTAGAAGGAATGGCACCAAAAATCGAATACGAAGTCGAATTTCTCATTGTTGTTGCAAGAGCTAATGGTATAGATTATGATTGTACTCAAGGAGAAGGAACTGATTTAGTGCTGTGGCACATCGTTGTCCTGAATTTGAGAAAAAACAGATGTACCAGAAAGCCCAGTCTGGCAGTGTGCATCTAGGAATAACGATATACCGTCGATCATTAAAGTCTCCTTGCAAGCGACGAAATATTTTAAGCGGGACACCGCAGGCTCAGGTCTCACTGCTGGCAGTTGGGAAATAGCATCGAGATCCGCATGTCTACACTGCTGGAATATCTTACAATCAAAATAGGGGAATCGAGTACAACGCTACTGCCAGAGATGAATAGACGGGATCGGGGGCGATTTATTAGAGCAAAAAGGTAGCACTGCATCCTAAATGAACATTGGTAGACCAGTGTGCATCGAGGATTAGCAATATCAGGTCCATAGTTCAAATCTCTCTGCTGGCAGCCAAGTTCTCAAAAGTTAAAACCCGGATGCCCGATAGCGGGACATCGCAGGGTTCAGGTCTTTCTACTGTCAGTTCGAAATAAATCTCAAGATGCTAAGACCCGGATTTCTGCAAAACTGATATGGATTTTGCATAACTGGAATGGCTAAGAAAATAAAAAAGATATAAGTGGAGTAGAAATCTACTACTAACAATATCAAAATGACTGCAAGACGGTAACGCTGGCAATAAGCGTACAGTGAGAATATCGCATAGTTCCTTGAGGTGACCAAGGGAGACAAAAAATTGAAACTCCACAAAGGTAACATTTATCTAGCAACAAGAAAGGAAAGGTCCCTTTCCCGGACTTCCACTCTATGGTCGCCAAGACAAATTGAACGTTGGATTGTCCACGAGAGCGTTCAACGTTCATGGACAAATTTAAAATCGTTCGCAGCGTACAGGTCAACTTTATTAGAATGAAATGATCAACTTTGGCGCTCTATGAAGGATATGTTAGACACGTAGGATACATGCACTGCATGTTAGGTGGCTAACGTATACTGGGAATACTTCCATATTTGTTAACACATAGATCACGTGTCCACAACATGCATGCAGACGTGAACCACCTTGCCCAACCTGAGGAGGGCACTAACGATGGAGTCCATAAGGTTTTGCACATTCTAGGCCCGTGGAGGTCTCAAGGTCATACCACATTGTACACATCGGGCATTGACAGTAATTGGCAATCAGAATGAGATCTAAACTATCGGCTTGCTGAATGATCAACCCAACGAATATCATTCATATAGGACAAGAAAATGATGCTCTATATATTGGATATTGCCGTCCAAGACATAGATCATCTTGCTTGGCTACATTTCCCCTTGAAGAGTAGTCCCTGTAAGTACAGATTCCAGAAAGATTTTAAGTTCTTCTGACCGGGTTAGGCAAATGTTATCATGTGATGCGGAACGTATACAATATTTAATCGCTCCGTCAAGCGTGCACAAATATGTGCATACCCAGCCAACATGAATTGATGATCACCAATATTCTTATTCTTTATTTCCCTTTCGAAACAATCCTGAACGACATAGATATCCATGTCCTATTAGCCGGTTCCAAGATATGGTTTGAAGTCTGAGAATCCAGTCTGAAAAAGGTCAGTTGTCCGCCTGCTGATAAGGCCTATTTCGCTCCAAACCATATTGCGGAGTAACGGTGTTTAAAAAGTTAGGATGCTCCTACATCAATAATCGTGTGTTCAGATCCCAACAGGGCATGCCCCGAAATACGGAGTGCAAACATGTGCAGCTGTGATTCTGGTCCGCCTGGTTTCCCGTAAAGCACAGCCACGTTCCCTTTCAAAGGGTGAGCGGGGCATGATATGATTGCATTGACCTGTAGCAACTTCACCACAATCGTAGAAGGCTCATGACGGTTTCAGGAAAGTAAGTGATCAAGCCGATCAGGAATGAGTTCTGGGTAAGGAGGATAGCAAGTGTTAAACGTTACTGTCAACGTCGGGGTTTCGACTCGCTGACGATACGTGACAGCATCAGATCGAAATGCCAAACATTTAATCCAGACGCTTGTGAACTAAATCTGGAGCCAGGTCGAAAGAAGGTGGACTCGGCCTACCTATGCTGAAATACTTGAAGGAACTTGGAGTTCCATTGAGAATCTATGGGACCATATGGTTCTGGCTGCACAAGAAAAGTCGAAACTGCACCAGACCAACCACTAACTACCAAGAGACAAGAGGGTGCAAATCGGGGAATAGATTCAGAAAAACCTAGGGTTTACACAAAATCTTGCTAAATATTTTGGTGGTAAGGACCGACGTGAATACCTGAACATGAGTCTCTCAATGAAATCCTCCTCTTTCATTCGTAGGAGTGATCGTCTGGTTTCCTCACCCAAAGCAGACCAGAAATCCACTAAAGCCTCGCATGAAAGTCGTGCAGTGTGAAGAGCACAAGTTTCCTTCATTCCATGACCTCTTCCATTTCCTCCAAAACCACCTGTGCTCTGACTTATCCAACCTCTTCCTCCTCCTCCACAGGCATCAGGGTAGAGCAATTCTCGTTCGCGCTCCCTTGCTCGTGCACTTTCAAATACCTGGCATAAATCCTACTGATGTTACTACCCTGGAGCCCGTAGATGGTCAAACAGCTCAAACCTAATACAGCAACTTTCCTGAGGACCACACGCCTGGAACACTCGCTACTTTCGGAATATATTGTCCCAGAAATATACTAGTTGTCTGTCGGTACAAAAGTCTTTCACAAAAATAAGCACAAAAAACAGTTGTAGTATTTTCGGGGGTACATTTTGGAGCACCTCAAGTGGTGTCCCATCCAAGAAGCAGTCCAATACTGTGAGCATACTGTCCCGGGTGGCAGCTAGCCCACCCCAAGGATGAACTGAGGGGTCCCTTGTATCATCCTGCAAACTTGGGTTTGCTCCGACTGCACCGACCTCAGACAGGTGCTTATTGCATGCAACTGAACCATTTCCATAGCCAAGAAGACCTGCTTGTAGATTTTTTCCATAAGAAACAATCTGTGCGTATCCTTCCACAAGGAGTCCATGGCACCGTGAGCAGTACAGATTTTTTCGAACTTGCTCAAAGAGAGCCTGCTTGTCGATTCGCAGCAACTCGCGACGTGCTGTTGAAGAAAGACCGCTCCAAAACTGCAAGGCCAAGGCATCCATCGCCATCAACAGATCATCTACGAAGGACCAAGGATTTAAAATGTTATCTCCAAACCACAATCGATGAGCCGGTGAAAATTCAAGATAGAAGCATATTAGGTACTACATGATCAACTACGTGAGCTTCGCATGTGCAAGACCGAATTGCAAACCCAAACCCGTGAATGAAGCATGTATTTGATTACAGAGTCAAAACACGTATGTTTTGACTCTGTAAGAGGTTGTAACATTTACCCATACTTGACGCAGAGTGAGCATTTATCGTGTTCTGAGAAATCTTAAGAGATCTAAATCTCTTAAGACTTGGAATATCTAGTACAACAACACGGGTAGTGGACCCTTACATTTCAAATTGCGAAATTCAACCACGTTGCCAGATTTTATAACCCCCCCTGGCAGAGGGTTTAGTACTTGTACGAGCAGGAAACTCTAGCGCATAGAAGTCGATGTAAAACCCCCATCCCCCAGATACACAAACATACGCAAGGAGCTAAAGCATAGGGTCCTTCTAGAAGATGCTCGCTACATACACAACAACAATTTTTGAACTTCAATATCTACAGATATGTGTCAGAGTGACGACATTCTCGTAAACCCCGATTGACCTTTTCAGCAATAAGTTTGAGCATTCTAGATTGGACGAGTGGATGTTCATTCGACTGCTTTCCATCTGACTTAGGGCAGTATCAGAGGACAATGTAGTTGAATTGAGATGATTCTGAAACCCTTATATAGTCCAAGGCGTTCTAGTTACTCGGATTCTCTTCCGGATTGAATCCACGGGGATCCTCTCTCCGAAATTCTTCTTGATTACAGGGGGGAAGACCGAGGAAGTTAATACTACGCATCTGCGTTGATTCTCCAATTCTTTCTACGTTCAATGCAACCAAGTGCACGATCTTCTCCATCGTAATTCAGAAAAGATCAATCCTCCTGTTTACTATCAGGCATCTACGCACAAACATGTGAGGGCGGGTCGATCCTCAAGCTCTCAAATCTCATTCATTCTCTCGCGTCAAATTACCGAATAAAAAGATCCAAATCTAGACTGGCACCTGTCCACAAACGAACAAAACGAGTGATCTTGCGGAGAAGTGGCACCCTAAATCAGGGATCCGACGGACGTTGTGAGGCGGAATCCGGCCGCTATAGCCCGCTCAACGAGGAGCGGCGCAGACAGAAGATGGTAAGCATGAAGCGAGAAAGCAGCTCGGCACGAGCGCGTGGTCAGCATTGGCGTGAACGCGGCTAGTCCAGCCATTCCGTGCGTGTTTTAGGTTTGAAATTTGGTAATACCTTGTGCAGCTGAGAAAGGCTAACATCATCGGTGTTGGAGCGAGACCAAACAGCAGCGCGACCGTCGGCCACAAACAAGTGGGAAGGGGACGATGCACGGTGAGAATGTAGAGCCTTTAAACTCGGCATCTTCCTGTCCTTTATTCTGCTCCTTTCCTATAAGCCATCTGCCCTTCTCTCCCATGCACTTTATCAACCTTCGTCACAGCGGTCCTGAACTATGCTGCCGGATCTTCCGCAACACAAGCTTTCCTATGTACAGTTCGAGTCAAGCACTGACAATCCTGCTCCTGTCCTTGACATTTCAACAGATGAATCTCGTTCTACTGCAAGACCTGCTTCCATGCTGTCAACTGGGACCTAATTGTCTGAGAACAGAACATCTGCACAGGCTCTAAACATCACGCCGCACTTCTATCGTTTCCACTGATCAGAATTAACTCATTGCAGACAAAGATGCACATCGACGAAACAAAGCGCGGAGATTGCCGCTTCCGCCAGCTTCCGCGCTTTACAAGATGCGATTCAGATCCATCCCAAGCTCCGACCCCAATCTCCGGACTTGGTCGAACCGATCCGAGACCGGCATCCACAAAGAAACACGTCTACTAACCTCTACCCACGCTCTTCCTCTCCGCAATCCAACGAATTTGCACCGATCTCATACCATCAGATCCATCCATCGAATCATCATCCTTGTGTCTCCCCTTCGGACTCCCCTCTCTCGTTCCCTCCCTCCCTCCCTCCTTCCCTTCCTTCCTTCCTTCCTCTCACCACCACCTTCGGCAACTCTTACCCCGCCTCCTCCTCTACCACCACAAAACTCCGTCAAATTCCTCGCCCTCTCCAGCTCTGCCCTCCATACAGAGTCCGATCGAAAGCTGGCAGGGTAGCGATTCGGATTATCAATCTTCGCGCATCAAGAAGTGCGTTATCGATCCGGCATACTCATCCTGAGGCTGGTGTTTCGTTCATTTGCTTCTCTTTCCTGTCTCGGCGCAATCAGGAACTACAATAGGCACAGAGGAAGAAGAAGAAGATGATGGTGATGATGATGGAGTCCGCAGAGGAGAATGCTCTGCTGCTGGCCGGGGCTGCTGCTGCTGCTGCTGCTGCTACACCAAACAAAGCTGCCTTCCTTCAATTGACAGCAGTGCTTACCTTACCACACCGGGCTCTCACCTCACCATCCCATGAGATCCACCCCCATGTTCCTGTCTTAGCATTAACACCAATACCCCACATTACACCCACACTTACACACTTCCACACACACACACACACACATACTCTCCGTCACTTTCTTTCACCTTCCATGAATTCTTCCTCTCTCTTCCAATTTAACTACTTGCAGTAAACTCTCCCTGACCTCGGTAACTTCCTCTAACACCCCTTCCTCCATGTTCCTTCCCTTCCCGTGCCTTCCCTTTCCCTTTCCTCCCCTTCCCTTCGCTTTCTGCTTGTCTGCCCGTGGGAGTGTTGACACGGCGCGGGAAACTCAAGGCCTTTCCCGCACCCGAGCCAAGCAAAGGGAAATTAAAACGGCGGGCGCTCAGATCCCCCGACGCCCATCCCAGTGTCCAGCAGTCGCGCCATTCCTTCCTTCGGCGGAGGCGCCACCCACATGCGGCAGCCAGACGGAAAGCGCTCTGCGCGGGTCGGTCGGTCGGTCGGTCGGTCGTCGCTGCGGCCGTCCGTCTGTCCGTCGGTCCGTCCTTCCCTCCATTCCTCCATTCCTCCATTCTTCCATTCGAAGGTTCTGCAATGGCGCGGCCACTGTAGACGGCCTGGCGCGTCTCCCCGCCTTCGGGGCTTCGGGCTCGGGCGCAAAGAAAGAAAGCGCGGCGTAAAAGGGAGGCCTACTCCATGCGTTTCCGTTACGCCCGCCCGCGTGGCCTAGGGCGCTCCCTCCCTCCGTTAGGGTTTTCGGGACTTTTGTCGGAGTCGCCAACGTAGTGCCAGGTTGGCGTGATCCGTTCGTTTTAGCTCGCGAGCCGGACCATCTCTCGGCTCCGCATCCAGCCTCCAGCCTCGGCAGCTTCGGCAGCCGTGGTTCGCGCAGGAGCCAAATGCTGCCACTGAACTGCGTCGTTCCCATGACCTGAGGTCACCCAACTCAAGCCCTCGAGTACGGTGCGAATGCTTTTCACTCACGAGCTCTTGAATATGCGTACGGGCGATTTTCCTAATTAGCTGCGCCAGTAATCCTTAGTTCTTTCAAATCTACACATGTCTGACGAACCAATCAGGAAAATGATGTTTTTGTGTGTATAGAAGAATCCTTCTTCTTGCAGTGGAAGGAATCCGAATACTGTTCGTTATCGAGCATTCTGCATTTGAGTTTTTGATCTCCCCGAGTAGGACTCCAGAGGACATATAGTTGTGATGAATGCATTAGACGTACCTTTTCGTTGAAGAAATCGAGTCACATGTCAAATGACAGGTCATGTGACAAGGCAAACTGAGGTGCTCATGTGACAGAATTCCATTAGAACCTTTTTTCTCTTCCATTTTTCTTTCAATAGAAGCAGCTGTCTGTTATATGTAGGTTGAAGAAAACGATTGCAGACTATGAATTGAGGTTCAGCAGTCTGAAATCTATCCAAAACACGACCAGAATATAAGTGGATTATCTACAGATCAGTAAGCAAATTAATCATGTGATGCTCCTGGAAAGAAAATAAGTGTGTCCAGAATGACGTTGGAATTCATCGTTGTAGAAGAACTAACTGAGCAGAGGGTCACGTAATCCACTGTGTGATGTAAATACTGGATTCGTGTGGTTGTTTTCCCTTTTCTTTCAAAGTATCTCTGGAAAGTCGATACTCCTGTCTCCGGTCACGGATAGAATTAGGTCTAGCACGACCGTCGACCATATGCCAGGGAAAGCTTCTCCCGGATCATTCCATCTCACCGACTGCTGCTGCATTGAGGGCCGGATTTCTCATGGGCCCTTCCTGCTACACCGGAGGATTGGTCCTGAAGGAACTATGCTGAGGGATTAATTTCTGTATTTGCAGGACTGTATTTGCAGCACATCAAAGTCTTTTCTCATCCTTTTCCCTGAATATTCTTAAATCTACTTCCAAGTTATTAAGCTTAACTCTACAATTTTCAAAATTTAAACCTTGCGCAGGTAGAAAACGAAGTCGACCGGTGTTCGTTGTTCAACTCAATCAATCATGCTAATGCTTAATTTCAGTTTGTATGCGGGTCTTACGCAAAGTGGACGACGAGATGGGGATGATCAGCCATCGTGTCATAGAAAGATATCCCTAACATGAGGAAGAACGAACACGACACTGCGATAATGCGTAGCCAGACAAGCAGGCTTGAGCGATGCATTAATACCCCTAGTCGCCTGTGTTAACTTGGATTCTATCAGACCAGAGCTGGAAGTGTCTGATATTTCCATGCAGTTCCTCTCATGGATAGTGTAACATGAAAACATTCTGTTACACTAGTGCAAGTCGTGCTCCATATTGTGCTCGTCGTAATCCTCGACAAGTCTTGTTAGGAATATATTCTAAAAAAAATTAGCAAAAATTAGAGGCTCCACGATTTCCGAAATCTGTAAGTGGAAATAAGCGTTGTAAAAATACGATCTAGAGTTGATGTGGATAATGTGGCAAAATTGGAAGGAATACGAGGCATAAATGGGTTTGATCAGTTATGTGAGCGAGTGAGGATGATACCAGTCTCACATCAAATATTGATGCTTTGCCATCGATTCCTTTTGCCTTTTCGAGCATTTGTACTCTCCCAATTCACTGTTACTTAGACGTTTATTTTGATGGTCAATATCCTGATATATCAACAATGAAAAGACTATATGTCATTAAGCAAATGTTCAATAAGCCAAAATAATCCTCATGAATTTTAGGCCTTCGATGAAACTGTGGTCCCCTTCACTACAGGAGCGGTTGTTGTTGCTGATAAAAGTGGAGCTCTGTTTATAAACTGATTATAAACACAAAAATGTGACTGAAAAGAAACACTGAAGGGAACTGAAAGTTCAAATCCTTGTGAGAAGAATCATTTTCAAGAATGAGGTATCAAGCAATACGAGATTGGAGAGATGATTACTCATGAAAGCAACTATTAACCTCCTGAGGTCTTCAACAAGCCCAGTGAACAAGTGTACCAAAGAAGGATAACTACGTGCAATAAAAAGCAACAAGCTCATGAATGACGCATACTCCTGCCATATGAAAACTCATGTTTATAGTATATAGCTTTCATCCATTGAGTGTATTTTTCTAAACATGAATAACGATATCTCATGTTTTATTAAAACTTAAAAAAATAAAGCAAGCAGAGAATCATATCTGAACATTACTATGATGACTAGAATTTTTTGAATGAGAATATGTGGTTTCTGTTGCACTGAGATGTTTTAAAATATCATCAAGCTTAATATGAAAAAATGAATTTTATTTATTTATTGAGTATCAAATTATTTAATTTATTATTATGTACAAAATAATGGATGAATGAAATTTAATGTAACTTGGAACCTGGGAATGTATTACTTCTTATTGTTAGGAACGAGATTGGTTGAATGCCTTTGTTTTGTAAAAGATTGTAGAATAACAGTATAAAATCAATTAGATTATTTTGAATTACAATTTGACTTGTTGGATGTTGAAAATATAATTAATTCTTTCCAAGGGTTCAGAAAAATATGATGAGAAGAAATATTTTTTTTTACAGTTTTAAGTATTTTTATGAATTATTTCCATGTTTCACAATGTTTACACATTGTGAAAATCAGCTCAAAATTTGTGGCTGTAATTTATTGGTTTCGAATAATAGCTTTTCGGAAATAGGCCATCATATATGCACATCTTTCTTATTCATTTTTCGTCTTGAAATCAGTATTTGCAAGAGTGCGATCAACCGAGTGTTTAACATGTGATACGGTCATGTTAGATCAAGAAATGTGTCAGTTAATGGTGATACCCCAAATGTACACACCCAATCTCCTCAGGCTAAAGACGTTGAATCTTAATTTCTACTGACTAATTTTCACCGTAGATATTGCTAAAAAATTACATCTGTGCTTGGATACATATATATGATTTTATCTTAACAATCATGTGTGTTTGTAAAAAACAGTAGGATGCATGAATGTGAAAGACAACATCAGACCTACTTACAACAGGATCAATGTAATAGTGTTTTATGAATTGTACCACATGTTCCTTGATTCTTCATGTTTTGAGATTTGGCAGATGATAATATTTTTAAATGACGTGCATGCTTGTTAGGAGGTTTCGCACTATTTTGCATGACTTTTTCTAGCAGGATGTCTTGTGAATGTTTAGAAAAATGCCCTCATTTGAGATGGAATGGCCCTTCCTATCTCTTGTTATCCTATTTCTCTCGTTCTTTC